TACTTATTTTATAAATAAAAAACTCGAAACCGCCAAAATTGACTTACGCAATTCGGTTATTAGCCTGTCGTTATTATGTTATGTGCAATACAACGCCTTTTCATATTTCCCAAGTGCCAAATCGATAGTGACTACCAGTACCAATCTGTCGTTTTAAAATAAAACTACTAGACTCAAATGCATTAAAATGCGGATATCCACCTATAGTTACCAGTATGACTAATATTTTTTTTTATTTCATGGACGTTCATTCGTGACAATTCCCAATTTCCTTATTTTTTGAAGTCTAAAGGCACTAAATAAGTGCCTAGCATATGATGTGATAAGCACGTGCGACTCCTTGCCCTCATTCCCTGAGCCAACATGTTTTTTAGCTTTAAAAAGCATAAAATACACATTTACGATCACAAAACTGAGTAATTTTAAGACGAAAATGCACCATGAGGTATTTCCCTGATAATTTGGCGCCGCATTATCGAGAAGTTTGCATTGTATATAGCGAACTTTTCTAGTTTCGGGGGAAAGACTTTAAATTTATCTTGGAATAGGAGTCCAATATGAAAAATTATCGCTTATAAAAATCTGTTGTGACATTAGCAATTTTTCGAGGTTCGAATTTAATGAAAATTGAGAATTTTAAAATAATCGAACTATTCGAACTTTACGATGCTAGAGGCAAAAATTTAAAATTGCCTTACAATAGAGGGATAATCTAAAAACGTATCGGAATTAAAAATTGTGGTGATATCTCGAGATTTTCTTATGTTTTTTGTGGTTCGAACATTGTCAATTTTGTAAAATCGAAAGTTTATTTAGATAATATTTCGTGTTATTTCGAACTTTTCTGGGGGCAAAATTTGAATCTACCTTTGAATAGAAGATTAGTATAAAAACTCATTGCAAATAAAAAAAAATTTGGTGACAACAATTTTTTAAACTTTTTGAGATTGGAATATTACAAATTTTGTAAAATTTGAACATTTTGGTAAGATAATCAAATTAGTCAAATATTGCCCAATAATTTATGAATGATCTTATCCCTAGACTTTATCTTTACATCTTGATACCATATCCTAGAAAGATAGTAGGTAGGTATTTACGGTACCAATACCGCACGTTTTAGCTGCATATTTTTAATCATTTTCAGCCATGGACTTCAGACTACTAAATCGCGGTGGGCGAGTGTGCATCTGCATTCAGGAGCAGTATAACAATTAAACATAAACAGAACAAAAAGCGCGGGCTAACTTTATTCAAGTACAACCATGGTAGTAGATAGTTTACCAACGAAATGACAATGAGTAGCGCACATTACATCAAATCTCAAAAACTTTTCTTTGTACTTAAACTTTTTATTGCCCTGTATTTGGATTTGTCAAATCGTTTTCAACTCGAGTTGATGAGCTAGCCTAGCTATTGGACTTTTCGTTATTTTTATTTTTTTTGATGCCAAAACTGATCGAATTGGGAATTCAGGAGATATAATAATGAATCGATGATTTCTAAAAAATCAAAAAATTCATTTAAGTGTTCCGCAAAAAGATTATATTACTCTACAGTTCAAAAAAGTTTGAAAATAGCTGATCTGGAGTCTACAACATTACAATTCTCTACACCAGGGGTATGCGACGGTTCCATTACATATGAATCCACGTACATTTGAATGCTATTGCACCTATGGAATTTTTTTTGTTTTACGGATATTCGAACCTATACTAACCCTAACCCATGGGTTTTAGCACCCGCTTATAGATTGAACCCGCGGATATACACATGGGTTCAAATGTACGTGGGTTCAAATGTACGGTCACCGCGTGCGATCCTCTACATGGGGGCCAGATACAAGTAACTGGATGAAGCCGCGCGCCACAACTTTTTAACATGGGGTTTCTAGTAATTGACGGCACAAACATTTTGGTTATTGATCTTATGATATGTCTATCTAGTTTCGGGCATTGTAACGTCATATTAACAAATTGGACCCAGGTATTGGCTTTGCAACGCGAAACAATTGGGATAACTCACGCGTTCCAGATTAAACTTACGGTAAGTAAAAAACTCGTTTCGCCGGGCCGCAGACCATTCAAAATTGGCACTTATCCGCGGGCCGCACAATTTTTCTTGCACACTCCTGCTCTACACCAGTGCTCCGCAACGATGTGTGCCGCGAGACGATGCCAGGTGTGCCGCACAGGAATTGCAACTTTTCTCTTATTTTTACAAATAATTTTTTATCTTTTGTTAATTTTGCGTTAGTCTACCACTCTACTAACGTAAAGTTAACCTGCTTTTACGTTAGCTTGAGCGACACCAATTAAAATTCCTGACACCCCCCCGCTGTGCATTTGTGACGTAACAAGGAGTAGGCCTATATGACAAGCATGTATATTGTGAAACCTATTGTCGAGGCTAAAACAAAGCACGTGTAGTAATCCAATATAAATGAAGTGTGAGTTTGCAGAATCAGTGACGTTAAAGTTTTGCAAAATGGATACATATTAAAAAGAACAGCCGATACTGAGCAACATATTGTACCAAGCACAAGCAAGGTTGAAAAAAAAAACTTGTTAAAAGCAAATACAGAGAAGAAAAAGCATCAGAAGCTAGTTATCGTGTTGCAAAATTGATTGCGCGTCACGTTATGATCCTAATATAGAGCGATTGTGCTCATTAAAACAATCACAAATCTCTCATTGTTATATGAACATAAAACAAAGTTACACATTGTATTTTTCGTTTGTTGTGGTGTGCCGTCAAATTTGGCAAGTTTTATAAGTGTGCCGAAAGTTAAAAAAGGTTTCGGAGCACTGATCTACACTACAGCTTTAGCAGATTTTCGCGTACTGACATCCGCAACTATTACTATCTATTCAGCAGGGATGGCGAACCTTTTTCGATGAATGAGTCAAAAATTATATTTTTAACGCGGAACAGAAGAGAGTGAGTCACAGATTTTAATCAATGTTTTTATCTATAAGAAACTTCTGAAAAAAATCTTATAAGTTTATATTGGTGTTAGTGTAGTTTTGGGCTTTACTTATGCAGCACTTTAATTGGGGACTTTTTAACTCGACTTGATTTTATGAAATTAGAGTACGAAAACACGCATACGAATTACCAAAAACGTTTAGGATGATGCGGCAAACTATTTTACGGTTTCAAAGAGTTTGGTGGGAATTCCACTCAAGTAGTATTATATTTTTCGATCAGCTCTCAACCACATCAATGCACTTTTACAACTCCCCATTGTTATTTCAGATTTCTAGATTTTTATTTCGAGTCTGAAAGATGATGCTTTCTCAACGGCATTGTAGGCGGGAAACTAATAAAATGCAAAGTAGCATCGAGTTCTCGTTTAACCCCTAAAATAGTCTGTAGAGTGTAGATGCACTTCCGTTAGAGACAAGACGTTGCGAGAAATTGACAAATCAATTGCATTGTAATGCCATGAACAATGTCAGAGCTAATAGCTGAATAACGGTACACAGCGGTGCAGACAATGCGTCCAAGATTCGGGGTTTTGAAAATTACCATACCGGCCCGGTAGTTAACAATTTGAATATGAGTGATCACAGCCCTGACTGTTCAACTGACGGTACATTATAATAGTATAGTTAATGTTGGATTAATTTAAGGCCGGTTTTATCACTGATATGTTAGCATTTTTTATTTATTTTAGTCGTGCCTTGGCGCGTCACGAATAAAACGCGGTTGGTCACTTTGTGACACGCGGGTCAGTGGTTCGCCATCCCTGAATTCTATTGAACCCAAATCGAAATAACTTAAATAATGTTTTTTTAGATATATATGAATGATAAGGCGGAGAGTTGGGAAATGAAATCGAAGATATTAGATAACTTGATTTGCATAATACATATCATAGGAATTTTTATAAAAACAGTGCTTCCCAACCTCTTTTTGTACAGACCTCTAAATTTTTATTCAAAGTCGTGTAGGCCCCCAAGTGTTTATTAAAGATATTCAAGGTAAATCACTTGCTGTCTCAATATAAGTACACAAAACAAAAATTTTTTTACAAAATAAATTTAAGTTTTCAAACCTATAACAAAATTTATTGGTAAAAAGACTAATTCAGTTCTTAGTTACACCGTTACACGCATGTTCGAATACGACAGCCTGCTAGTGTCTACATAAGACTGTTTCTACATTTAAGCGGTCACGAACTTTTTGTGATCCAATTTTAACATTAATCCAAGCACTAATCTAACATGTGCTGTTTCGTGTATTTCAGTTTATCCAACAACGTATGAAAATTTTTATTAAAATTTCTATTAATTATTTGTCTCTAACGAAACTGTAAATTTTTTTTTATTATAACTGATTTTTTTTTGGCATTGGCTGATAGGCAATCTCGACTGAGTAACGAAACCGTATCGGTACCAGTACAACCGGTAGCATAGGTTACCTTTGCCGTTTACTGGTAATGTTAAAAGAACGTTAAAGACAGTACAGTAGTTTCCAAACTCTAAAATTTCAATTTTTTTAAGTTACATATTTGAACCTAGGGTGTCGCTACTCGATAAACAGCTTTGGTTCCCCGCGACTTCCCTTCCCCAGTAAAAATAGGTAATTATCACTTTTTCGTAATTTGTGTTCGATTGTTGTAGATTTTACTGGTTTAAAAAAAATAAACTTGACTTGACAGAAAGTGCAACAACTTTAATGAAATGTACTCATCCAATATAATTAGCACTTAATCTATAGACCCCACTTAATTGCACTGTGGACCCCTAGGTGTCCATCTGGACCCCGTTAGAGAGACCTGGACTTAAGTCACGAGCATTAAGTCTCTGATGAACGAAACGAAAATTTTATATTGAAATTAAAAGTTCCTTTGCTTTCAACATTTGCATAAAAATTCTTGACTATGTGACTATTTCAAAGGGTAAATGTTACCGTAAAACTTTAAATATATAGGTATGAACCAAGCAGGTTTGAGCAATAGAAATTTTGGATATAATCAGGTATAAACTACTTGCCTTTATTCTCGCCAAAACGCATTGTTGAGTCAGGTCTTCGTTCCACCATCATTGTGTTATCAGCCATCACACTATCTATCTTGGCTAACAACTATAATATGCTGGTAAATATCGTAAAAATTTGCAAAATAAATTCTCTTAGACTGCAGAGAAATTGAGGAATACATTTTGTTAACTTCTATATCTGACATGGGCAAACTACATGGGTCCGTTGGGCACTTCAATCTGGCCCGCCCGATGCGGCCACAACCAAATTGAAATTTTGATGTTTTAGCTAAAAAAAAAATAGCTCAAGGAATTTGTTGAGATTGCAATTAAATTTAGTTTCGGCACGAAGCTTACTGTTGTCCACTTTTGCCACCGTAAATATTGTTCATAAAATGTCACTTTTACGTCACACTTACATGGCCCGCCAATCTAAGTGGGCAAAATTTTTGGCTCCTGGTCCAAAAAACCTTGCTCATCCCTGTTAGTAGCATCACCTTTTGTATATTATAAAACATTCGGATAGGATGAACTTGATGCCGTTTACTAACTGATTGTGATAAAGCTATTCATTAATTCGAAATAGTTTATTGGACACAAAGTGGGTCGTTTTGTTATTAAGTCGTTGTTTTATCTTCTTGATATTTTTCTTCTTATCGTTTTGAAAAAATTACTTTTTTCTTTAACTACTGGAGCAATTGCTTTGAAATTTTCAGTCGTTAAAGATTGTATTTTTTCACTAGAAGGCTATTCATTACTTTTTCCACATATTTGAGCATAGCTCTCTTGTTTAATGTCTGATTCTTCTAAGAATTCAAAACTATCTCAATCAAATGTAAAACATTAACTCAAATATGACTGTTACAAATAAATGAATGAAAAATGAATTTTATGCAGTATTGTATTGGTATTTAAAAGAAACGTCGCGTGTGATCTGAATTCTGAATATTCACCGAAATCCAAGTATTTCCTATATTAGACAAATGATTGATCTATATTCGATAGGATGCTATAAATTTCGTATTAAATTTTTTTCTCTGAAATAAAAGTATGGCAATGGTCTTCAATTGTTGCTCGTAATTTGCACGGAATTGCCGCAAAATATGACTTTGAGAAATTTTTGATATTTCATTTTTGCATCGAATGAGTTCAAAACTTTTATTGACGCCACATGTTGACATACACAAGTAAGAAATGTGGCCAATTTATTTTTAAATTTGGTACTCCCGTGGTATGTCTACTAGGCTAGGGTTGGGCATTAATTTTATTCCGATTATCCTTATTTTAGTTCTATTACAAGTTCGGGGACTGTCTGTGTTAGCCAAGTGAATATACCCCCTGCCCATAGGAATCAGTCAGTGTACACAACTTGATGTAAAGTAGGCGAACAAAATTAGTCACCTCTATATTGGTACACATACTTCTATAGCGCCTTAATTTTACTATTTCATTCACTTCAATATAGGATGGAATTGGTGAATTTACTTCGACGAATAGTGGGAACATAGTGTCATAAAAGTTCATGTTATCTCCAGTTCCAATTTAAGGTCCTCGACATTCAACTTTTAGCTATGAAATTGTTGTTTATTAAATTTTGAATTGTAATCATAAAAATAAACCAGAAAATTATTTTGACATATTGTTACATAACTAACATCACTGAATTGACTAATGACATGGCTAGCTGAGACAACAAGCGAAGTTGAATGATGTGCCTGGCTAGTCTAAATTGTTAACTGGCTTTGGTCGGGAATACATGTTAACAATTTAGGGATCATAGAAAACTAAGAATCGAATGCGGAATCTATCAGCCTAGGTTGTCTATAGGCTGTCAATACCGCAATGCTTGTTACTTATCGATCTTGATCGGTAAGTATGTTGATATGTTTGTCTGTTTGTTACTTATCGATCTTTAGATCGGTGAGTATGTTGATAAGTATATGTCTGTTTGTTACTTATCGATCTTTGGATCGGTAAGGTATTTGTCTGTTTGTCTGTCTGTTAGATGCACGCGATATCTCACGAAGGCGTGGTTGATTTTGCATGTGCATTCATCATATCTTGGACCAGAAGCCTATTGATTTTGGATGAATTATGTCGTAAAATTAGCGAGATATCAATTAATTAGTGGTGGGACACGCGGTGTCCCCATAAAATCATGAATAGAAACCGCAGTTTCGATCGATAAGTCTTCGGTTTCCGACCGATATTCTCGTTTGTTTGTTTGTCTGTTAGACACTTTCTATGTTACGCGATATCTCACGAACGCAAGGTTAAATCTGCTCCAAATTTTGCATGTGCATTCATCATATCTCGGACCAGAAGTCTATTGATTTGATTTGAATTATGTCGTATAATTAGCAAGTTATTAAATAATTAATTAGTTAATAACTTTTTTTTCGTTTTTGTTTGCGGTCGATCGATAAGTCTTCGGTCTCCGACCGATATTCTCGTTTGATATGTCGGCAAGTTGTGCCGGTGACAGAAAAATATAATCTAAACGGCATTTTTATTAATAATCCTGTGAGCAATAAGCAATTTTCAAAGTTGAGGGATTTTGCTCTGAGAATCTTATCGATATTCGAAAGCACTTACATTTGCGGAAGCACTTGATATCTTAAATGTATATATATATACAAATAGTGAGTATCTATGAGTTTTTTGGTGGTATTTGCCTGTTTTAGCTTAATAAATGACAAATACTGTCGATGTGTTTGCACAATAAAAGTGTTTGTTTTGCACTGATTACCTATTATTAGTACTATTGTGGCCTGCAAACGATGCAAAAACGAGAATATCGGTCAGAGACCGAAGACTTATCGATCGAAAGTTAGAGGATCCCTAAAACAGAAACTGCGGTTTCGATTCGAAAAATTTGTTTGGATGGTTTCTGAATTGTTTCGATTAGGGATTTTAGGTTTCGATTTTCAGCCAATATCAAAAATCTAGGAAACAATAGCCAACTCTCCACGTCGTCGTCGAAATAATACTTGAGAAAATACTTTTATGAAGAATTCTGCAAATCCCAACCGGATTGTTTCGATTAGTTTCCAGCCAATAGCCTATTTACCAATCTTGTATTTTGTGTCAAATACAACGGCGCTAACCGGGTTGCGACGGCTATCCAAACCAGCCTAGCGATAATTTGGTGAGGAATTCTGTAACCTCGAACCTGATAGACTAGACTAGAGGGATATGAACATTGCTTAAAGAGTAACTATAAAAAACGAGATACGATCTCGCGACGTGTATCCTTCGCTCTGACTCAATAGCGTGGAACATTTCTCGAAGGAAACTTGCGCATCGCGAACGACGTCAAAGTTACAAGACGGATATGGACAAAGCTTTAAGATTAATCTCGAGATTAGGGCTGGGAATGGTTAAACGGTTACCCGATTTCATATGGTTAACGGTTACGGTATATTTTAACCGTTAAATGACTCAGGTACAAATCTTCTTTATACCGTACAATTTCTTCAAATATGATTACGCCATCGCAAATTTATCTCTTGTGGCGTTTAATTCAGAATGATATTACTAACTGTGTGGGTAAGGACTCAATAAATGTGAAAAATAAGGGAAGTACCAAGATTGCTGATTATGGAAATTTGACAATGATGAATTTAGAATCAGTTTTTGGTCGATTTCGAAATATATTGTTCAGGATTTCATTGCAAAATCGGATATTCAATGTCATACAATAAGTGCGGAGTTGATGCCGTTTTTCTTTATGATATATATCTCGAAGTAGAATTTGCATATCGAACACTTATATTTTGTCACATAAATGACGTTTAACAACGGAATCAGGTTTTCCAAAATACTTCCACACGCCGCCCGAACCACGCCGCCTATCTCTTGCAGCAGAGCAACCATGAAACTATCTCGATTCGTGAATAATTTTGAGCGATACCGAGATAAGAACACGCGAAATTGCTTTATAAGCATTGTGACGTAACAATCTGAAAGTATACATTATTACGTCAAACGTCACGCGGCGGTTAACCGGTTAATTTTACCCGGTTAACGGTTAAAGTGGTTACTGAAATTCCCAGCCCGACTCGAGATACGATCTAGCGGTGTGTACTAGAGATGTACCGATACCACTTTTGTCGCCGATACCGACCCGATACCAGCTAAAAACGCCGATACCGATACCGATATGCTGATACTACGAAAAGGCCGATATTCCGATACCGATACTATGTAATTATTACTTAATTAGGTATGCTGTGTAGGGCAGACGGGTTAAAACAATGGTCTTTGGGCGTTGTTCATAGTACACATTATTTCAGATCGAAAAAAAAAGATATATATATCACATAATATGAAATTAATGTTTGGTATCCATATGCTGTAACTGATTAAGATACATTGTACAGTAACGCTAGTAATCTCGGTGTTCAATTAGAAAACTCATAAGCCGGGATGTACAATTTGAATTTAATGTTAATATCGCGAGCTTCGAATATTGTTATTCGTGTTTAAAAGAATATCGAATATCACCCACGCATTCTAGCGCCGCCGTCCTACGTTCAAATTAAAAGCATTTTACAAATATTTAATTTAGTGGCTAATCGTAATCGTTGACGCAATAAGTCAAAGCCAACATGAAAGAATATCAATCAGCACCGACAAAAAGAAGGCCCACCGATAACCGTTGAGGATGTTTTTTTACTTCGCTATTTTATAATATTTCACAATTGCTATCATATATTTTGAGACAGTCTAGGGCTAGGCGGTCAAGTCAATATATCTATAAAAAAATCGTGTAGTTAAGCAGAATTAAAATTAATACCTGTGTAGTGGGATAATTGTGTCGGAATTTAGTTTATCGATGTCGACGGACTAAATGACACTCGTACTTGACGACAAACAGTCAGAATTTATACCCGTGCCAAAAGCCCATGTGCCGTTAATACGGAAGGACCCCAATTCCACTGTATGATTTAAAACTGGGCGCCTAGTTGCTTTTTGTTATGTGCTGTGTTGATATATTTCTTCATAAAAACTATGTAATATTAAAAATGTCAATATAAAAATTTGACAGCGAAAATAGCCAAATTAGTTGAGCTAGTTTAGCTGATAAATAGCTAAAAACACGTGAATCCTATTCTCTCGCAGGGGTGGGGACATGTATGGCTCATAGCTCACGATCTCTCCAGACAAAAATAAAGTAAAAAGTAGTATTCCAACTTATCTTTTAAAACATTCTGGACCATATCAAAAAGGTAAATATATCGGTAATATCGGCCTTAATCTAACCGATACCGATACATGGCCGATACCGAAAAAATGGCCGATATTGCCGATACCGATACATCGATACATCTCTAGTGTGTACCCTTCGCTCTGACTCAATAGCGTGAAAACTTGCGCATTGCACACACACACACATTCAGCGCGTCTCAAAAATCTCTCGCTTTGTAAAAATCGTTCTCCCTGTTACAAAAATCCAGATCTCTTTACAGTAATTAATTAATAACACGCTAATTATATGACATAATTCATCCAAAATCGATAGGCTTTTGGTACGAGCTATGGTGAATGCACATGCAAAATTTGGGGCAGATTGAACCTCGCTTTCGTGAGATATCGCGTGCATCTAACAGACAGACAGACAAACACCTATCAACATACTTACCGATCTTAAGATCGATAAGTAATAACTTTGTGGCCCCCGAAGCTGACAACCATGGACCACCATGGCTTAAAATATTAAAAATTTAAATAGGTCGAATACATGAATTTAGGCAAACCTTGAAAACACGAAAATGATGATTTAAATTATTTGAGAAATTTTCACGGTAATAATGCATTTATTATTTGAAAAAGCTGAGAAATATCGATATATAGCTGTACAAATTTATCAAAAACACAAGAATGTACTAATCTAGAAGAATGAACAAACACGTACTAATCTAAGAATTAGTACGTTTCTTACCAATTCGGATCTTTTTTTATCGCAGATCCGTTTATTTCGAAAAATGGAATGATAATTTAATTTATCAGTAATTTTTAAGGACGTTATTGTTGAAGAGGGTCTCACAGATGGTATGAAGCCTCGGAGCCTCTCATCGTCTAAATCCGGCCCTGCTGTCGACCCATCAGAAATTCTACCATTCAAAATTTGTAATATTACAACGCATATAGAAGATATTTGTTATTTTTAACTATTTACCTTAAAGAAAAAATGAGCTATGTCGGAATATTTGTTTAACCTGTGGAAAAATAAGGCAGTCAATATAAGGGGAAAAAAAACGCTGGAACCCCGAATAGCATTAAAAATGAAGAGGATATTATAAAAAGATATATAAAATGTGACAGAAGCAACGCTCGTTCTTCCCTGTGTTGTTACTTATCGATCTTAAGATCGTTACTTATCGATCTTAAGATCGGTAAGTATGTTGATAGGTATTTGTCTGTTTGTTTGTTTCTCTGGTAGATACACGCGATATCTCACGAAAGCGAGGTTGAATCTGCTACAAATTTTGCATGTGCGTTCATCATAGTTCGGAACAGAAGCCTATTGATTTTTGATGAATTATGTCGTATAACATAGCGAGTTATTAATTAATTAGTGATGAGACACACGGTGTCACTATGGAGTAGAAGCGCTGTTTTGGGGGGGTCCCCTAACCTTCGATCGATCAGTATTCGGTCTCCGACCGATATTCTCGTTTGTTTGTTTGTCTGTTAGATACACGCGATATCTCACGAAAACGGGGATGAATCCGCTCCAAATTTTACATATGCATTTATCATATCTCGCATCAGAAGCCTATTGATTTTGGATGAATTATGTCGTATAATTAGCGAGTTATTAATTAATTAGTGATGGGTCACAAGGTGTCACTATGGAATAAGAGCGCTGTTTTGGGGTCCCCTAACTTTCGATCGATAAGTCTTCGGTCTCTGGCTGATATTCTCGTTGTTTTTTTGCCTTGTGATCCCGATGAATCTGATGAAATCTACTATTTCCATGCGTAAATTACCTTTTTGAACTTTTCGGCAGTAAAAGCAACATCGAATGGGACTCAACAACAGGTCCCAGTCAAATATTGATATAACTGTTTCATTTTAAATTTACACTTTACATGCCCTATCCTGCGTATGAGATTGTAAACGTCCGTTAACAATGACAGTAGAATAAGCAAAGTCGACTTGGACCATTGCTGGAAATCTAAAATAATTCTCTTTTTATTAATTTCAAGTCTTTTGGTTTAAAAAGGTTATTTTCTTTAGATTTTTCATACATGGAATATAAGAAATCTCTGGAATTTCAAAAATATGCGGTGAACCATTGGATGTAAGCAATATAGCACAATAGGAACTTTTATGACACTGTCTTTCCACTATTCGTTGAGGTAAATTTACCAATTTTGAAAATAATATGACAGCATTTCCTATACTTGTGTATGTTCACATGTGATCAGCATTGGAAATTTTGAGTTCATTCGAGGTGAAAAAAATAGCAAAAAATTTCCCAAACCAATATTTTGCGGCAATTTCAAGTTGAGTACGGGCAATAACTGAAGACTTTTGCCGCATTTATATCATTCAAACGAATATACTTCAATCATATCTTCAATCGAGGAAATACTTCGAATTTAGTGAACATCTAGATTCAGACTGCGCGCTTCACACCTCTTTCAATTACAATGGCATACTGCATAAAATTCATATCATTTATTTGCTTCAGTTAGGCGAAATAACATTTACAAGTGATTAAAATAGTTTTAAAGTTAATTTTCTAGAAAACCGCTTCAAGATTATCCCCCTCGATTTCGGACATTGCCCATGGATATGAACTAAGATGTATCCTTATCTGTTGCAGAAAAAAGCTTACACTGATTGTGAAAAAATACCATGTTTGCGATATACCGAAAGCGATAGTATATAAATATACTGTAAATATATAGAAGATATTAAAATTTCCACTTGCATTTCTAATGGATTTATATTTCAAATATTTTACGCAGTCAACAGCATGTATATCATAGTTGTTGAACAAATAGCTATGGCTGATATAATAAGATGGATATTGAACGAAAACCCGACTCAACAAGTCTTTATGTCGAGAACGAAGGCAAGTAGTGTCTGGAAAGTTGGGCACTAGTATTTGTCGTTTTCAATAGTGATTTATCTCGCGTATCCACAACTAATTTTACATTGAAATTACATAATATTTTTACATTATCTTTCTTTTCTTAGTACGAAAATGAAATGTTCGAATACACTTACAAAGCAATGGATTAGTATCAAACAATATAGCCATGTACGTTTTTTTAAATACATTTTACATCAATTAAGCGATAGATTAGTTATAGTATATTTTTTCTAATACTCTATATCAAGTCTGCTCAACCCGCGGGCCGCATGCGGCCCGCCCTATAAAGTTTGTAAGCAGACTTTTTATGTTTTTACCATGTTATATATCAATATATAGGGTTAAGTACGTTTCTGATTTTGATGTGATTATTCCGGCCATCTATCTACATTCAAATGCCGGTTCTTATTATTACGTATGTGTCAAGTCTTGCACCCTGGTGGACATCGACGTCAGTTTTTTTTTTATTTCTCGCAGAACTGAGCGTTCTGTTCAGCGAATTCGAAAGACATTGTGCGATCATTGAGGACGAACGCTGAGCGCAATTATGCGAATGAATTTGGAGCCTAAATTTGCGAATTAATTTCATTCTGATTGTTTTCTTACGTATCTGATTTGATCGTCTTTATCGCCAGCGTAAAATAAAATGTCAACAATATCTTTGGTACTGCAACCACAGACCCTCTATACTGCAACAGTTGTGCCTTTCAAAAAACATGTTTCCGGCTAAAACTTTGATTCCAGCTCACGACTTCAGCTTGTGCAAAAATGACTCAGACCAAAATTTAGATTATGTGAATCGGCGCTAAATTATAATTTTTGCTGCATATTTATGGTACGTTAATCACCCAAGTGGCTGTACAGTATACAATTTGATTGGCTGGATATGTATATTTGGTAGACCGTATATGTAGATTATGTAAGTTGGCGCTATTTCAATATTTTTGGCTGCATATGTATGGCACGACGCCAACACTTTCGGAATGGGATAACATCTTGTGCTGCATTGTCTCTGTTCCCACGGTACGTTAGTCGTTAGTTTCCACCGACCGCCGCAGAGGTTTGGTGTTTGAAAAGTATTCAGATTGACCACTAAGTGTCGCAAATGAGCAGACTATCATATTTCAGTAACCAAGCGACGTGACGCTAATTACATACTTGAGAGACAGTTGTTGATTGTTAATTGTACATAAATATTATCCTCTGGCAGTGATTTTTATTTGTTTATTCAATCTAAAATGAAATTTGCTTTCACCAGTTATTAATCTCCTCTTTTTACGGTGTTCAGTAACCAGATTTCATTAGAATTAAAGTGTGCGCACACGGCCTATGCGTTGATTGTTTGATGAATTGATCGAAGACAAATATTTGTGATGCAACTTTAAAAAATATCTGGAAAAAATGAGAAAATCAGATAGTGAGGACGAGGATGACTATATTGAAGAGCAGAACACGGATAATGAGGGTAAGTTCTGAATTTCTAATTTTTATCAATTATACAGTTATAGGATAAGATTTAACGTCAGTGACCCTATTACCGTTACATATTTATCCCGGGAGGAAAGCCGAAAAGACAGCTTAATCATATACTGAACTATGACCTCTCCTCCAGTTACCAGTTTTTGTTGGGTATGGGATAAGTTAGCCAGTTTATTGTTTTTTGGAAGCATGGACTTTATTGTGAAGGAAGCTGTAACCGACCAGCGGGTTGCGTGAACCACCCTACAGCAGGGAGGAGTCCAGCGATCCTCTTGCATATAACTATACCTGCATGGGATTCGAACCTGCAAACCCACGCAGGGTAATCAGATGTGCGGTGGCAAGCGTATTCCTAGCGCTCACACTGCTGAGATTATTTATGGCTATGTCTGTATGTGTTACTGTCTATGTTTTACTGATTACTTGGTCGAGAGTTGAAAATAAGCTTATATGTATAATAGTGAGATATTACAGCATCAAGTTTTGAAAAATTCTATTTAGTCGTTCTGATAGTTTAAGTCTTGACTCATTAGATAGAAGTGGCGTGGGTTCACTTAAAGCAAAATGGATGCTGAAAGGTTTTATGCTGTGATACCTCCTACATTTGAAATTACGATTGAGCAATACTACAATACCAAATATGAGATAAATAAAAAAATGTACTAGAAATATTTATTGGAAAAACAGGCGACCAAAAAAGATTTTTAGATGACCTAGTTTTGGGTCACGACCCATAGGTTGCAAAACACTGCTCTCTCTATGTGATGCGAAATATATTATAAAACAGTGTTTCTCCAGCTTTTAAAACTGCTCCCTTTCATTAGAATTTGTCAAGTCTCACACTCTCCTCAAAAATAACTAGCTAACAATAAGTTACAAATAACAGATAATAAGGCGAAAGCGTGTTCTATGTAAGAAAACACATTGAAATACGTGGACGGAACATAAATATTCAAAGTAAAGAAATGTAAATATCCAAAAAAGGAAGGGCAAGATCAACTCTAACAAGAATTTTTATTTTTAATTACCTCCAAGCCCCTTCAAAAATTGTGACAATCTCATTGAATTGCTCATAAAGCCTAACACAGAACGAGTCAACCAGCACGAGTATGCCAATTGCCAAATAAGATCACGTATAAGCCACAGGTATGGCTGGACCTAATTTTATCCGGCTCACATTTTAATGGATACAATACTTTTTTATTACAATAATTTTAAATTCTAGATGAAGATGAAAGTGAGGATGAGGGAAATGAAGAAGCATTAAATGAGGAGGAAGAGTCTGAGGAAGAATATCCAGATCCTGATCCAGAGGAAGAAGAAGAGGAAGAGGAGGAAGAGGAAGAAGATCTTTGTCTAATATCAGCAGTTAATTCATCCAGTAGCATCATGGGCGAAGCATCCGGAATTGAAATCGAAGATTCTCCGTCCAAAAGCCAGTTGCCAGAAAATTTAAATGGGGTATATAAGCCTCTCCAAACAACATCTTGCATCATTCCTCCTGCAACATCCTTAATGGTGAATCAGAATTCGGTCCCAAAACTGCATTTAGAATCTCTTACAACAGTACCAGACATTCCTGATTCTGGTGATAAAATTATGTTGGTCAAAGAAAAATATGGGATTCTTCCTGCTGTTACAAAAGATAAAAATAATAACTCGGGTACTGGAAATACATTAGTTGCAGCTCCGTTATCAAATATTCCATCAACTCTAACTTTACTTGATAATGAGCAGGGTGAGGCAGCTGGTACAGAAGGTGGGAAAGCAGATGACGCGGTTTCTGTCACTTGTTCAAGCCCTTCAAAAAAGAAAAAAAAGAAAAAAAAAAGGTTAGAAACAAAATTAACGCGTTTTTGAATTTCAATCGTAAGTGTTCGGTAGAGCAGGGTCACCCAAACTGGGGTCCGCGGATATCTGGGGGTTCGTGATGACTGCACAGGGGGTCTGCAACGATATGAAAAGAGTCTGAAACATAGTGGATGGGGTCCATCAAAAATAAGATTCACAAACAGGGGTCCACGGCCCCAACCGAGAGTAGAGTACAATCTTGGGTTTAGTATTTTTTCGTTCGATTACTAGACAACTAACGATTCATGGAAATAATAAGTACTCAATAACAAGTAAACAAAAGTTTCATTGTAAAATAAATAATTGGGTAATAATTTTCATTAATATAGTAGTACTGCTTTTGATGTTTCTTTTTATTTGTCACATGAATATATTGAATGTCTGTCACATTGATTCTTAGAGATTGTTTATGATATTCATTTGGGTTTTACTTTTTTTTTTAATAATCTAGAAATTGATTGAATTTTACCGCTATAGCAGCTATAGGCATTTATTGCTTAAAAATTTTTTTTTGATTATTCTCAACTTACATAAGTTATTTTTATATTTCAACTGCAAAGACAGACAGTTTTATTTACAAAATAAGAACTTTAGTTATATTTAGATCTGAAATTTTCGAATCTCCTAATTTAGACATTTTTATTAAAGCTAGGACTGAATATATGATGATATAGTGTTATTACTTATCGATTTTAATCGGTAAGTATGTTGATAGGTATTTGTCTGTATGTATGTCTGTTTGTCTGTTAGATGCACGCGATATCTCACGAAAGCAAGATTGAATCTGCTCCAGATTTTGCATGTGCATTTATCTTATCTCGGACCAGAAGCCTATTGATTTTGGGCGAATTATGTCGTATAATTAGCGAGTTATCAATCAATTAATGATATAGTGATCTAGATTTTTGTAAAGCGAGAGAATTTTGAGACCCGCCGAGTGTGTGTGTGCGATGCGCAATGCGCAAGTTACAAGAGCGGATGAATCGAAACTGCAGTTTCTGTTTTGGGGGATCCCCTAACTATCGATCGATAAGTCTTTGGTTTCCAACCGATATTCTCGTTTATTCGTTTAATATTTTTTCAGGTGGATTGGAATATGCACTGCCAATTGTAAATATGAGAGCGGTGAGTAATTTCATGTTTATACTTTTTCCACAGGAGAAATTTTACTTTTCATAGCCAATACGATAGGTTTACATATTTATCCTGGGAGAGTGGAAAGCCAACAAGACGACTTAACCATATGGCGAAGCACAGTCTCTCGTCCGGTTATCAGTCCATGTTTGTTATGGGAATATTTAGCCAATTATTTGTTTTCGGAAGCATGGACTTGTAAATAGTTTCGTAGTGTTTGTATAATAACTGATTATTGTGATAGATTCTCTTAATTCAGATGTTTAAATTATGTTCACCATTGAATTTAATTATGTGAATACTGAGTAATTAACTACGATATAATAGCATATGTTTGATTAAACTGCCTATCTATCCACTCTAATTACACGGAAAAAATCAATTACATGAACACAATGACAAGCACCAACTATCGTAATTTACATATTGCTGTTCTTTTATGCCTTATGGGAATAAGATTAGGATATTGTAGATGGAGATGCATTATAGAAGGAAAACAATAACTTTGTTTTATTGAAATAAAAAGGTTTCGATTTCGATCAATCGAAATTAAAGTAATCAACACTAGTGTGCTAGTGTGTCTGCCAGAAAATAATTATCATAACTAGAATGTTTTAATTACAATAACTTTATTATTTCATTTGGATTCGAAACATTGTGAACATAGAATTTATTGAAGGATTTAAAATAGATCTTGAGACATGGGTGTAGCCAGGTGGGGCCATGCCCCCTCCCCAAAATTTTCGACATTTTTTAAATTCAATTTTGCGACATTTGCAGTGAGAAATAGATTTTTCTGCTTTTCCGACCCCATTTAACTCTATTCTTGAACGATTCACTGAAAACTGATTTTTCGTGGCTTGCTATCAATAATCTTTTTACCAAATGAACCAACCGAGATAGATGAAAGTGCTTGCTTGTGTGCCTCTGATAACTTTGACAATCAAGTATGTCTGTAGATAGATTTCTTAAGATATTATTAGATATCGGTGGCTGCTTTTATCTAGTCTTGCTTGAAGAAAAAGGCACGAGTAAGTGTCGTATTACGTCATCATACAAAAATTCAACCCCCCCCCAAAAATAAATTTGGGGCTGGCTACGCTTTTGCCTAAACATTCTATTTGAATATACGGTAATTGAAGTCTATGATTTCAGTGACATTATTATTAACTTAATCACTAATATTTACATCACAAACCCATGAGGTTTAAGCTAATCCACATGAAATATTGGAATCTTATTATGCAATTGGCAATATATGTGTTCTACTTTAAAAATACTTTTCACTAAACATATCTGAGTTGAATAATTCTTCAGATGCACTTCAATTGTTTGTAATCTCTTAAAAAAAAAAAACTTAAAAATCCTCATTATGTAATTACTCTAATCTAGTTGTAAACAGTGTTGAGGACGCCTGAGTCATAATTTAACGAAGACCCAATTCATGTGAATAAAATGACTCATCATTAACGAATTGCAAGTGACACTTGAGTCAGTGATTAACTTGACTTCAGAATTGACCCAAGGCTCCGATTCAGATAGCTCGAGTTCACTTGTGATTTGGGGATTTCCAACTAAACAGAGTTAGAAAAAGGGATGAACGGTTGGTCCCAATCTTACAACTGGACAAAAAACATGCTGGTCTAACTCTAGGACATGAACATTCCCAAAAAGACAAACATTGATCAAAGTCAGTATTGACATTTGAATCAGTTTGATTAACCCCAACGCAATTTTATGAGATATATCAGACAAAGCTTCTTTTATTTTGTTTCGTTTTGTGTCACATAATATTAAAGGTCAGTGAACTGGCATAGTAACTTATTAGGTTAGCCCCCAAATACAGTAATTACAAGATCTTGTATAGCCAGAATCTTGTTCTTGGTTGATGTGATATTAAAATTTTGTTTCAACTTTGCAAAATTAATATTAATAAATATTAATAATGAAATAATTGACCTTCCAACTTTCAAACAAGTTTTTGTATTGAGATATTATGTATTTCATTCATTACAGAGTTGGATCACTAATAATTATAATGTTAGAAAGCAATACGGCTATCTTTATGGCCAAAATTGGATAAAAAAAACTATTAATATATATAAAAGACAATTAATTATTCTGAATTGTTCTTTATTAAGCATTATTTACTTTTAAATTATGACTGAAATTCAAAAACGCAAAATTGAAATATCATAAAATTGAAAACATATTGGCCACTGGAGAGTAATTTGATCCAAAAGCAAGCCTGTATAAAAAATTTGCTTTGAGAAAATGAACATAAATATATTTTGGTTTCAAAACTACTGTAGCTTTTTATGAAATACTGCGGTAAACACTGCTTTGAACTATAATTAACCTTCTATAATCTAACCTCCTATATCTTCAACATTGCCTTGATTGAAAACCTCAGTATAAAATACCTAATTGGAAAAATAATAAAAATTCATCTCCCTTTGTTATAAATTTAAAATAGATGTCAAATTGGTAGAATTGTTATGTACCATAGTATAATTTTTAACGCTCAAGAAGTGTGTGTACCAATATGGAGGTAACTAATTTTGTTCGCCTACTTTACATTTATTTGTGCAAAGGAACTGAAACCTATGGGCAGAGGGTATATTCACTTGGCTAACATAAACAGTCCCGGTAAATAAAACTAAAAAAGGAAAATTAGAATAAAATTATGGCCCAACCCTAACCTAGTACATACACCACAGGAATACCTAATATTTTAATTGGTAGTTTAACTACAAATCTTGTGCTTTGCGTAAAAAAAAAGAGTAAGAAGAAAAGAAATCTTTGACAAGAATATTTCTACTCTGCAATATGAAAATTTTTCCGAATTACCATTTAGAATTTTAATTGTCACTGCTAAACGATTTCTCATCGGATAAATCCTTAATACTTTAATTGACATCTTTATTCAGAATAAGAGTAAAAATCTGTCATTATGGCCACCCTTAACCATAAGTAATAGGGTATTTGTAATGGCGATAAAAATAATATTATAATAGGACAAATCCTTACCATTTAATTTTCCTTTATTGTACAAACAAATCTCTTTTATCCAATAACAATAGGTCTTTTGATGTTGTTTGCCACCATGGGGTCATATCCACAACCAATTTCATTTCATGAATAACGATTTCAAATTTTTTAATATAGTGAAATATACAATATTAAGCATGGTACATGAATATGTTTCAAAATATGATTACTTGATATACAAATCATGCTTGATCTATGCTTCTATGTTTCATGTTTTTGATCTTCCACTTTTTTATTATTTTGGTACCCATTCCTCACTCTTATCTTGAATAAGTAATAAAAATGTTCATGAACTGCATTGCTTTGATGTTTTCGCTGGCTTTATTACCCAATGGAATCGATTTTATGATTATAGTGTAATTTAGTTGTACAAATAAATCGTTTAGTTTTATTTTTATTGGGCAAATTTTTTTATTTGTCGTTTTCGGATGGGTGCTGTAATTTAGTTCCATGAAATGGAAATGAATATTAATTATTAGGGTATGTTACTTTTCCATGAATTCGGATAATTTTATTTACCATCATATTTATAAGTATAGCTTCCACATAATATGCTATGAAATTGTCAGAAAGCTTGGCAAAAACAATTATAATTTTTGTTTGCTGGATAATTCAGGACTAGACAAGTCCTGTATTAAATTACCGGTAGGTGAAAGAACTTTGATGTGCTTCACAAAACTAATGGTGGACATATGAAGTCAAAAAACTTAAATAAATATTGATTAAAATAAACCAAAACCGGTTTTAGGTATATTGGTAACTGACTTCATGACAAAATTTTCAAATTGTAACAGGACTAACAGACAGTGTATGAAAAATTAGGAGAAATATCGAAAATAATAACAGAAAATAATAGTGTCTTCCATGACAGAAAGGTTTATTCTCAAAAACTGTACATGAAATACTATTAGATAATAAATACTTCATCTTGTGTTTTTAAGTTTTTTTTTAATTTTCGCATTTTTTTGGTTATTATATGTTAGCATCATACTTTTTGTTATTGAAAAAACTGAACTAATTTTTTCTCCTTTTGTTAATGGATTCTTAGCTAGCCTGATGCGCAATTCGCACTCTGACTTTTGTGCATTTTGAGTATTTTATAATGTAGCTATTACAATAATACCGAATTACCAAACGATGAACCAATCACCTACAAAGCAATATTTCCTTCTCCAAAACTACTAGATTCCGCACTTCTCTGGGAAAGATTCATATACTGTTAAGAAACACTGGGCTAAACAAGTGTGATCTTTCTGAGCTTATGATTTGAAAAATTGTGAGAGTCTTACAACAGCTCACTCAAAAGAAAAGGAAATTCACCTCAGCATTCTACGTCAATAACTAATGATCTGACTGAAAGAATTTTATATTTTTGCATGTTAGTTCGTCGCGTGAGTCGAAGATTTGGTATGAAAGAAGTACCAGAAGATGGAGAAGATTGGACAGTTTATTGGACAGATTATTCTGTATCATTGGAGAGAGTTATGGAAATGAAAAGATTCCAGGTTTGCTTTATAGTGAATAATATCATTTCAAAATATCTATATTCAAATGGATAACGCAACGCTTATGATCTAATAATTTGCAGTTTGGCGTATTGTGCTAAGCGTTAGGTACACGCTTGTCAATGCACCCCTGATTACCCTGTGTGGGTTTGCAGGTTTGAATCTCATGGCAGAGGATTGCTGGACTCCTCGCCGCCGTAGGGTGGTTCATGTAATTTTTTGGTCAGCTACGGCTTCCTCCACCATCATGTCTATAACCCGAAAAAAAAAACTGTTCTCACACCGACTGGTAAAACTAAATGGTAACCGGACGATGATGACGCCCACTTAGGTGACTTAAGTTGTTATGAGTATTCGATAAATGGTGACTTGACACCAACTAGAGTCGAGTTTATGACTCGAGCCTTCGTAATAATGTAATATATTACCTCATAATAAATTCCAAGAATTATTCTGAATTATATGTTTAATGTCACTTGATGTTTATTATATTTAATTCTGCTTTTTCAGAAAATCAACCATTTTCCTGGAATGAATGAAATATGTCGAAAAGATCTTCTTGCAAGAAATCTTAATCGTTTATATAAATTATTTCCGAAAGATTATTGCCTTTTTCCAAAATCATGGTCTCTGCCTGCCGAGTAAGTGACGTTTTGTATCAGAATTTTATCGTTCGTGCATCAACTAACTCGTTACTATCTTATCATTTATTCACGCCCATGTAACTCAAAAAGTCGAACATCAACAAACTGTTCTTTATAAAAATTAAATTTTATTCTTTTGAATTCTATCTTCTGCAACTTTTTATCGTAATTTTTTGGGTAATATTGCTTCAAACCATGATTGGATACCAAATATGCATTTTTTTTTTTGTTGATATTGACATTTTTTGAGAATTGTGATGAAATCTTGAAAATCCACAAATTCAAATTAAGTGTCAAAATTCAATTATTTGCCTTTTTACATCATAATGCAGTTCAAATTATTCCTTTATTCAACCATTTATAGACTTTACTAAATATTATTGATTTGGTATTTGAAAACTTCAAATTAGTTTTTCATTATCATTTGAGTCGATTTTGCATATTGCAAATTGGACGCTTATTGGATGAAAAAAAGTAAAATATTAACACATTTTATTTAGTATATTTCACACTTTTTCCTACAGTTACAGTGATTTTCAAGCTCACTGCCGAACTAAGAAAAACAAGACGTATATTTGTAAACCTGAAAGTGGTTGCCAAGGTAAAGGTATCTTCATAACAAGAAACCCTAAAGATATAAAACCAGGAGAACATATGATTTGCCAACAATATTTAACAAAGGTTGGGATTTTTTGATGGCTTTTTCATGATCTAATTAAAAATAACCAAAATCTGGAAATTATCTATTTTTAATATGGTATGATCTGAACACAATTTTGAATCTGATTTGTATTGTACCAGTCATACAATAGGGTTTGCAAGTTCAAATCCTGTGGCGAACGTTTTTGTGCAAGAGAATCGCTGAACTCCTCATTGTCCTACAGTGGTTCATGCAACTGCTGATCAGTTTTAAATTTCTCCACCATCAAATCCATTCATCTGAAATAAATAACTGGTTAACTGTTCTCATTTCCAACATAGACTGATGAATGAACATGTATTTCATATTATTAGTTCGTCTCATTACTTTCCTCTTCCCTAGATTAAATATGCAAGCCCTATCCTTTACTTTCAATACAACATCAAGTTTATTTATATTGATATTCAGTGTTTCACTATTGACAACTACAAATTTGATTTGCGAATTTACGTTCTTGTAACATCATGTGATCCACTGAGAATATTCGTTTACAAAGAAGGTCTCGCTCGTTTTGCAACGAAGAAATATCAGGAACCCAACAACCATAACATGGTGAGTTTTATTTGAGTTATTGAACTCACCTGAGTGAGTGCAAATGACCTTGCTTGCTTTGAGATAGCTGGGTCCAACGTTCTTACCCCCAGACAAAAGAGGGCAAGATGAAATTTCGAAAAATGCTTTTTAAGAGCGCATTCAATCAAAATTTAGAGCAATATTAACCCAAAGTATTTTAATAACAGATTACAGGACTTGAAAATTCAAAATTATATTTTTTTGCCTATTTTAATGAAACTATTTTATTTTTATTTTTGCTTGAAGTCCTCGTACTGTGCACACCTCCTATTTTTAATGATAACCACTTTGAAAATTGTTACCTATGATATGCATTTTTGTTTTTTTTAAATATGTCTCAAGATAGAATTCATGCTAAATCCCAGATTATAACATATCGTTTTTCCTGAAGATAATTAGATTAATTTATTTGACTTCGGCAATTTCTGTTATTTTTGTGAAAAAAAAAAGCTTTTTAATTGATAGATGCTTGAAAGCCTAAAATATGGGATTCACCCATGTATTTTCAGCAGGGTGTAACAATATTAAAAGGAATGAATTAGTAAGAAACATTAGATGGTAGAAAGTAGAATTTAGCGATTGTTCTTCTATCATAATATACGACTTTGCGTTAAAAAAGTGGGGTTTACAACTGTAAACTAATTGACATAACACAGGATGACTAATAAAAAAATAAGACCCAGGTCATTTGGAACATATTCGAGAGTGAACATAACTTTTGTGCAAAACGTCCTAGATTACTAAAATTTAGGTACAATCACACACAAACTGAAGTTCAAGTATTGAATAAAATTTCTTCATTTTCGTAAAAGAAATTATGAAATTCATGGGTTATGTTTTTTGTGTCACCCTTCAGTGTTAACAATAAACTTAAGTGGTAAAATTTGACTAAATTATGAAAATAAAATTTTTAAGCTTTAATTAATCTACTATTTTTCAGGTAATTAGAATTTTGATAAATTTATATTATATAAGTTTTTGAAACACTTTATAAAAACAGGATTAATTATGTAAATAATTGATATTTTGGCATTTTAGACACAGGCACATCTTCTTGGTATTAGTAGTTTATTTACATTACCAAAGCAGAGATATTGTAATAACTTGGCAAGTAAATTAATCACAAGTTTGTTTATACAAGTGAACTATGAGTCAAAGATAATATAATCATATCAAGCTTGATAAAAGGATACTTGATTTTTTGCTGACTTGTAATTTTGAAACCTTGTTTTATTTTGGATTTTTGATTTGTTCATCTACTTTTTATAGCAATGACTTGTCAAACTTAGCCATTTTATTGATGTGTACTTAAAAAAGGATGTTTTTGAGATACTCAAAAGAATGGAAAAGGTTGTTTATACGTAGTCGTTAAATATCTTTATGTTGTCACATAAATATTATTTTGAAGAGCACACATAAATTTACAAGTAAATATTATTTTATTGGTGCAATCATATCTAGACTTGTTTTTCATAGTATTTGTCAAAAATATATTTTAAAATCGTAAAATGATTATAAATCATGTAAAATTTCATTGATTTTCTGTATGATATATTTCTCTAAAACTTTATTTGTATTAGCATAAGAATAATTTATTTTTGAATTTTATTACTTTACCACACACATAGAAAATTTATTGTACATACCGGTAACTATGATATAAATCATTTGATTCTCAGAAAAACTTTAAATAATATATTCTGTTTTGGATGTTGTTAAACAAAATTCTCTAATCTATTGCATAGCGTACAGAACGACTCTTTTATATTCTGAACAAGCCTTGTACAGACACCCACTGATATCGATCGAATTGTGAGAAAAGAAGCGGAAATTAGCCATTCTGATTATTTCAGCTCTAATGTCCTAATTAAATTATGGTATATTGAATCAAGTAAAAATAAAAATATGAATTTCTTAAAAAAATTTCTATTTGCCTTTTTACCAACAATCAATTCATTTTACTTACCTCTGTTAGTCTGTTACTTAATTGATAACAAAACTTTTGGATTTGAAATAATCAAAATCTAGTTTAAGATGATCGCAACACTCTCTATTTTTACATACTGTTCATAGAGATTAACTAGGATCAACTAGATTTACCTTAATTTCACGCACAGTTCATCATTAGCCATTGTGTAATTATTAAGCTTCATATTATAGTATATGTTTTGTTCCTAGAATAAAAACGGTTTTATTTCTCATTCAAACCTCCGACAAAATCATATTTTCAGATTTTGATATCAAAAACCCATTGTTTGCTTTTTTTTGTCTAACTAGAGCAAATGTGACGTCTGTTATTTTAGTATCTACGTCCTGTTCAAAAGCTTTCTCACATTAAAGACGAAATGTCAATATTAAAATGGAATTAAACACTTTATTAAGCCTTCACTGCGAACGCATGTCACTCAACTAAAGGTTTTAAAACGGAATAGAGTAATTCATACCAATTGTCCATAAGAATAGTACAGGGGTTTCATAACGTCTTAAAATTTTTTCAATTGCAAAGGGAATTCATCGATACTCTATATTGTTTTGGACCTTACAAATGTATTGAATGAAGTAAAAATACTTGAACAATTACTGATTAAAAAACAAACCTGAGAACTGAATTCATAACAAAATTGAAATTGTAAAGGAACCTCATGGACATCCATATATTGCAATTATAACGCAATGTCTTGCGCAATTACTGAAAATTTGAACTTTTTAAAAAATTGTTAAATTGATCATTTATTCTAATGTGATTCATTGAAACGAAAATTATGCATTATATCTATTATCTGAATGTGATTTAGTCATAAAGTACAATCATGCAATTATAAGTTTTGATAATCAGGTCTGGGTTTCCAAATTCTGAATATGCTGCTTAAACAAAAATCATTTAATTGACATGTCACGTGCCCATTACAGACTTTTAATTGCTTGAGATCTCAAACAACGAGAGTGTGTGCATATTCAATATGTCTTAGTACATTCTGTGGTCGTTTAAAACCGATAGACTTATCTGTGTACATTACCAGCGGTTGATAAATATTAATGTTAATACAGCTGAGATAAGTACATTGTTCACTTTGTTATGTAAATTATCTCAAATATTTGCACAATCAGAAAAATATTTTCATAATTATCCATTGTCAAGTTTAAATCATTGCGTTATTGTGTTAGGATTCAAGTATTTATTTTTCTTGGCAACCATTTTCAAATTGGGGAATGATTCGGCATTGCTTATCCCAAATTATTACGTACTGGGCACAGGATTTGAACTTGGAATGTTTAACTTGTATTGCCAATACAATTATATATAAAACTCTAAAAAACTTGGTCATTGATTCCACTAAACTTCATAAATAAAATTTTTTTTATTAATATAGGGAAATTTAGGGCAAAAAAATTAGTTTTTTTGACGAAAAATATGTACCAAATATTTCATTCATATGTCGCGAGCGAGTATTTACTTTAAATCAATATGTCAACTCCGTACACCAGACAAGAGGTACTTAACGAAAGCGATAATCGTTTCTCTTAAATTTGACGAAGAAGTTATATAATTGGTTCGTTTAAACGTCAAGGACCATCAAATTGTAAAGATGATCAAAATGGTCTCGTTTTAAACATTCAATTCAATAATATAATGCTGTTAAACCTCCGAGTACCGGTACCACTCGTGTCAACTAGACATGAAAATTGTGGGTTACTTGAGCGGTAAACTAAAGTACGAGGAATAAATATGTGTTGAACTCAGAAACTCGTTGAAATATTACAATACGCACCATCAAAATATAGGTTGAATGTGAAAAAAATATTTTTTGGGGGGTTTTTCACTGTTTTTGCATGCTTCGGCAAGGTTTTTAATGGTTTTTCATATTTCATTCATGCTACTATTCTTGACTGTGCCAAGTTGTTGTTAAATGCTAGCCAAAGGGTATTACTGGTAAATGATATTGATTTTTCTGTGTTATCTTTTCTTTTTAATGCATGATTGAATTAATAAGGACCAAAATTTTTTAAATCGAACATGGTTTTTCACATAAGAATCCACTGGTCTGTTATACCTTCCAAAAACATGAACCTGGAAGCTGGCTGGTGAATAAAAAATTGTTTCTGCTGTCATTGCAATTGGCATTGGCATAACTGCTTTAGGTATGGTGCATATCTGTATACACTCACATGCAATGACACAATATGATGATTTCTAGCTTAAGTAACTCTCGCTCAGAGATCAATCTTCTATATTTCTGAGTGAGTGGGTGTGAACTTGCTTTGAGCAAATTTTTTTATAAAATATTTTTCCATACCTTATATGTACTGACAAGATGCCATATATCGTGTTTTTACACATAAGGCACACCGTCAATAAATTGCTTAGATTATGGTTTTTATCCATGATAAGGTGCACCGGCCTATAAGACACAACTGTTAATTTTGCGTCAACTGTTAATCAAATTTGTTTTAAAATTGTTTTAGTGTCTCGTTTTCTCATGTCTTAGAAATTATAATAATTAGAAGCATCTACATTTACTAAATTTATCCACTATGCTGAATCAGCATCGTGGGTGTCACTGCCTGAAGACCTTTCGATGTCCCTCGCGACCCCCGTCACGCAAATAAAGTTGGGTTGTTTTTTTTTGCTTCATATTTTGCCATATTTTTCGGGATATATTTATATTGTGTTGACAAATAAATGATGATTGATTGAATTATACATTAGGCACACGCACACCATCTTATATGACGCATGATCGATTTTCGAGAAAAAAAAGTAATTATACAGTGCTCCTTATGGTCCATAGAATACAATAATTAAGCCATCTTTTCACTTTCTTCTCCCAAAGATAAATATAAAAATCACACATTTAAAGTAACACATTATAACTACCAGTAAATTAAATCAGTACAAAACCATGCATATTCCATTTATTTGAATAAATAAGATGATAGTCAAAATTTATATCACAAAAAAATCTGTTTTGTTATTTCAGGATGAAGTTTGCATGCATCTCACGAATTATGCTATCAATAAAAACAGTGATGATTTTGTTCGAGACGATGATTCGGGAAGCAAAAGAAAATTAGCAGCAATTAATCAGTGGTTGGATGAACATGGTTACGACACTGCTAAGATGTGGGCTAATATAGAGGTAATCATAATTTATACAACAATTACATTTTGTTTTAGCTGGAACATTCTCTGTTATTAATTGGTATTAAGATTTATTAGAGGATGTCATTTAAAGTTTTAATATGAGAAAAGGTAGGATTGCTGATTGTATATTGAACCACTGTCAGAAATCGAGCGCTAATCGGAGTCATGCATGGCAGTTGTTGTAAGGAAAACGTGAGAAATCGCAATGCTCATTACCTTGTGTGGTTTCGCATGTTCGAATCCAATAGAGGATGATTAGGTATTGCTGGAAATTTTCTTACCATAACAGCTTCCTCTCTCGCTATGTATATTAAACAATTCTCATAACCAACCTAGACTGGTAACCGAGAGGCTTTGCTTTGTCATTATAATGAAGTAGTTTTATGGACTCTTCCCGATATGTTTTGTATCGTAAGTTTATAATGAAGGGAATTTTAAAAAAATAATTGTGGCTGCTTTGTGCAGAGACTTGTTCAAAGAGAATATATAATTCACTAAAAAAAATTTGCTTGCAACTTCTGAATTGAATAGATACAAAAACAAATTATTTAGGTATTTTACTCAACAATTTTGAAGTAAAATCGATATGAACACTTATGACTTGACAAACATACAACATTGTGCCTCTTGTCATAAATAAAAATTACTTGATCTTTTTGATATTCTAGATTTCTATGTTCTTATTTGAGCAATATTGTCAGGGTAAGATTATGGATATGTCGCATAAAATATATAAATAATAAATAAGATACATAAATTTTAAAAAATTGTTTGGCAAATAAATCACGTTCGTAGTTTAACTTGATTTATTTCAGCGAATTGTATGTTCAATCAAATAGCAACATATTTCATCCATTTTTTTTTTCAAAGTATGAGGGATTTTGATAAACTCTGTTTAAGGTTTTTGTTAACATTTAGCTTTCAAATAAGTGATAAACAATTGTCATCTTTAAACAAAGCGTCATCATTTGGCAACATTTCGTATTTAAATCAACCCTTCACTCATATTGTTATCTTTTTTACTGTGGTGAACAAATTGTTTTAGAATAAGCATTTCGTGGCTTGTCGTCGACCCAAGGACTTTTAGAGATCCTTTTTGCAAACAAAAGACGGTATTTATGTTCACAACTGCGCGACAATAGTAGAGCATCGCAAAGAGTACTTATGTTTGGCAACTTGATATTTAGATTTACTTTCCGATGTCAGCTTATAACTGATGTCACGTTTGAGAAAATTCGATGTCGGTTCATAGTCAAAACATATAAGATTTGTAGATAATACGAACATAAAAAGTGTTGTTTGAACATTGAGTCATACAAGATTCAAATATATATTTTTTTTTTCCATAAATATTTGATTTATGCATTCCCATGATTTTTTATCAAAGGCAATATTTCAAATATAAACTTCATCACGATCTGATGTAAGTCATGCCTGATCATATATACTATGATTCTTACTTACAAATCCAATTACTTTGGTACGCAAACTCGTCGCTACAACATACACTTTCATTAAAAAGAGAAACTGAACAAAATTAAAATTATTCGAAAAAAAAAATATTGTATTATTCACATGTGTTTACTTAACGATATATCACATCTGTGTTTTTCATTGATAACGATCTTAACTTAATCTCAAGTACTCTCTAAAAGAGGGTACTTGGATATTGTATATTGAACTTTTTTATTGAGTTTTTCTCCTCGTTTACGTCCCAAATGATCATTTCTTGGGGAAATTATGAGGTTACGGTAAGTTATATCTTATCTTCACTGTGTAATATACAGTAATAATAATGAGTTTTTTTCGACCTCATAATTAACATAAACAATAGGTAAGGTTTAAACGTACAAATATTGAATAAAAAGGTGTTGCTAAAAGAAGTGGTTCGGGTTCAGTCACCTAAATATTTAATATTAATTAACACACACTCACACACAGATAAACACATACATACAACTCCAAAGATATGAAAAAATTAAGGAAAAATAATTTAATGAAAGCTTAAAAATTCACGCTATTTTATGTACTGTTCTATTTTAAGATTTAATTCTATTTGCTATTTAGTCATTATTTGTATGTTGAATAAAAAAAAATTTTGAGAAAATTTTACTGCTCATTTTGTGAAGTTGAGTTTTGAAATTGTGATTTCAATCAAATAAATGGAGTAAAGTGGTTGAAGTTTCCAATGAAATCTTGGCCAAGGCTAGCTAGGTTGTTACCAACGTGATGGTTGTTGGGCCTAGAAACCTCTTCCATTTTATTATCCTAATAAACTTTGCCGACCACTGGTTTAGTGCAGTGTTTCTCAAGCTATGGGTCGCGCCCCGAAACTGGGTCGCCTAAAAGTTCTTTCGGGTCGCTTGTTTTTTCAACAAAAACCTAAAAATTAGTAATTTCAATTTTTTTTTTATTCAGTATTTGGTATTGAAATTTTGCTCAATAGTAATTGTATTTGTGGGAGGTATCACAACGTAAAAACTTGTAAGCATCTATTGTTTTTAAATAAAGCACGCCACGATTTCAAAAAATTGCTGTTGCAATTACATGAGGTTTAGTATTTGAGCTCATCCTTGGGTCGCAGGACTTTATAAACTTTATTTGGACCTCCATAAGTATGCGCATCAAGATGACGCACAACCTGAACATAGTATGTGGGTATCGGTTAGGATTCAAGTTGTGCGACATCTTGGTGCGCATACTTCTGGAGCACCCTTAATTTTTAACAAAATTTTGTTCACTTGAAAAAATGGTTAAGAACCACTGGTCTAGTGCATGCATCCCATCTCCAACATTAATAACTGTCTGCTTACGTATATGCATAGGTGAGGAGCTTGGTAATATGCCATGTCGTTCGATTTATTTATATTCTAATTGGTTATTGTATTAATAATGTTGCTACCTTTTACTTTTAGGACGTCATCATCAAGACTTTAATATCCGCTCATCCAATATTGAAGCATAATTACAGAACTTGTTTTCCAAATCATTTAAAAGGAAGTGCTTGTTTTGAAATATTGGGATTTGATGTTTTATTGGACAAAAAATTAAAAGCATGGATTTTGGAGGTAATATATTACTTTGAGATAATAAGCCTGATTGCTTACATCTTGTCTAAACAAAGACAAAGAACACATTAGACACAAAAGGATATTCACGGGCCGGGAGAGTGAAGCACCCGCAAGGGGTTGATACTTGTAACCGTGCGTATAATTGAAATGCCGGCAAAATTGAATTATTACGAATATACTTATGCTTAAACTGTGATAATGACATAACAATTGGCGATATCTTGAATGCAATAAGGTAAAAACATAAAATGTGAAACTATTTCACTTGAGTTCTGCGAGCCATATTAGATGGTTACATGGGCCATAACTGGCCAGTGGGCCACGGTTTGGGAATTACTGATTTAAAATATATTAACTGTAATTTTTTTTAATTGTCACTTTCATTTTTTTTTTTTTATTATTGAACGTGTCAAATAAATGACTAAAGAAAACATGGTATAAAAAAATTGGGTATTTTTATAAATGAGAATGTGGCACAATAAAGGTCATGAGTCATTCCTCGAGTTTTTATTATGAAAATTATTTTCTCGCTTCTTCAAAATGAAATGATGTCAATTCGTTAAATAGAAATTAGGTAAAAAGAAGAAATGTTTTTTTCTAATTCTTCAAGGTCAACCATTCTCCGTCTTTTCACACTGATGCAAAACTAGATAAAGAAGTGAAGGAAGGTCTTTTATACGATACTTTTAATTTACTCGATTTGCGCTCGATCGACCGAAGGAAATGTTTGGAAGAAGACAGAAAAAGAGTGAAAGAACGTCTTCTCGCTAAACCCAAATCAAGAGAATCCAAGTGAGTGTTTGATCATTTGATGAGCAATCTCCCGAAAACTCTCTATTTTTTTTGCTGATCTTTGATTTCAAATTTGAACATCAGTGAACAAATTGTGATACTATGTAGACATTATTTATGGCCCATGCATGATCAAGAACTGTGATGATATGGTTTTATCCAAATTGTCGATTATTTCACAAAAATTTTTTTTATAGAGGTATTCTGGTAAAAATTACTTCACATTATGATTAGATACTAGAGAGGCATTGTTTTGTTAATATCAACATTTTGTAATTACATCACTAAAGCGAGTTTGACGTATTTTTATTATTCTCTGAGTGAGATAGTTAGTGTGTTGGAGTTAATTGTTGGTGTAGCATAGACCTTAATTTAAGGATTTAGCTGCTAAGCCAGTGGGCGGCAAAGTTTTTTGAGTGAGGCCTAAATGGTAAAATGGAAAAGGTCCAGCAATTTTGTTGGAAATTTCAAATTTAACCATGTAAGAAACTTGTTGAGGAACATTCAATTTGTTTAATTGAAATGAACGTAACATATGATCATTTAATAGTTGTACAAAAACCATTTGGCAAAACATTTTTATGTAATGTTGGATTTATAGAACTTTTTTGTGTATCACTGCCATAATTGAAATTTATTGGAGGCCCACTAGAAAAATGCACGTCCCACTGTTTCCCGTCCACTACGCTTAGCCATGTTGCTCATTAATGAAGATATCACTTTTCAAATTTTAGCTTTATATTGACATGATCTTGATTATTTAACTACTTTTAACATCATCAGGCTTGAAGAAATGAAAACGAATCAAATGCAGTATTTGGAAGTCATCACTAAATATGAAGATCAACATATGGGCGGGTTTCGCAGAATTTATCCTGGCCCCGGTGCGGAAAAATATGATAAATATTTTGAGAATAGTTGTTCTTTGTTCCAAACGACAGCAGCTTCAAAAGCACGAGAGGAGGCCGCTAAGTAAGTCTATTTTGTTGGTTATTTATTTCCAATTATACAATAAAGTTATGTCATGTTCGGATAGGATTTACGGTACATATTATCCCGGGGGAGAAGAAAGCCGATAGGGCTTAATTTTGTGGCGAACCACAGCCTCTCGTCCGGTTACCACTTCATGTCGGTTATGGGATTAGTTAGCCAGTTATTTGTTTTCGGAAGCCTGGACCTGATGGTGGACGAAGCCGTAACCGACCAGCGGTTACGTGAACCACTCCATTGGTGGTGGTGAGTCCAGCAATCCTCTCGCACATATTTATCCCCACATGGGATTCGAACCTGCTAACCTACGCAGGGTAATCAGAGTTGTGGTGACGAGCATATTAACAACACTTAGCATATGTGCACCACACAAAACATAAAATGATTAGCCTACATGAATTATTATCATTACATGAAGGACATCACTTACACTTCATACACAACTTTTGACAACATTATTGCATTTCACCTATTTAGAGCTCAACGAGAGGAAATTCGAATAAAGCAAGAGAAAAAAGATGCCATGATGAAGGGACGACCTTATAAACCAGATATAAAGAAGGAGGCAGGAGAAGCAGGGGGCGATAAGAAGCGTCGTTCGATACCTGGTGTTGTTCCATTCAGACATCGACCTGCCACGAGAAGATTAACAACTGGTCATCAGGTAGTGATAACTGATCATAGGGCTGATTAACCATAAGTTTCTAATGTATATCTCTCATCATTTAGGTCAGGGCTTACCAAACTGGGGGTCACTACCCCGCTGAGGGCATGCAACAACTATTAGGGGTCAAAGTGTACACCAATTTCACTTAATACGAAGTACTATCTATATCTGTTTTGCTTTTTTAGACTTTTGATTCGAAACAAAATTATAAAAATTAGTGCAAAACATAAATCTCACGATTTCGAAAAAATACACAGGATTTACGAAGCGGCGTGCTTGTATACCAATGCCGACTTAACAGGGGTCGGCCCTGATTTAGATGATCATTGGCTTAGTAGGACATTCTCACTAATAAAATATTTGATGCATTGTTCAATAGTTGGCAAAACATACTAAGTGTTAGTAACATGCTTGCTATCTCAATTTCCGTGAGTTTGCAGGTTCGTTTCTCGTGGAGATAGTTATGTGCATAAAGATTGTTGTACTCCTCACTCATCGCAGTGGGGTGGTTTGTGTAATCGCTGGTTGGTTAGGGCTTTTTTCATCATAAAGTAATCGGACAAGGAACCGTTGTTGCCATATGAATAATCCGTCTTATTGACTTTCTTCTCCTTCAGAATATAAATATTAAAATCTAATATTATAGTGAGGATTCAAAGTTTGATTACCGTAGTTCATAGGCTGGTCCAAGCGTCTATCGCAGGAAATTACAACATCTTGTAGGCATTCTTAAACTAATGAAACGTAACTTCAACACACTAGGTATCTTCCTTATAAATGGCTTTTTTATAGATCATATGCTTCAGAGTGAAATTGCCTAAAATAAAAATATATTTTATATTTATTTCCAATTTGTCTGATAAAAACTTCTTTACACTCATCTTGGGTAGATCATCTCAGTAGATCATTTGTAATTCCACTTATGAGGTGTTGAATTAAATTAGTTCATTTTTAAATTACAGCTATTAAATTAAATTTCTCTAGATGAGATCGCGTTCTCCAGATGAGATTTTGCCTCCACTCGATACAAGTAAACCACTCGATATATCTGAGGATGAGGAACTTGAGAGAATAAGTTCATTATTACAACGAGACAGTCTTGTTCGAAGCCTTGGTGTTGTGGAACAAGTTCATAGGTTATTACACAGCACACCTGGTACAACAGGACTCGTGAAAAGCATGGTTCCTCATGGAGTGAGTATATTTATATAATATTTATCAAATCTTGCTCTCTGAGATTCTACTCATTAATATTTTCCAATAGCTTAGAGACTCTTGAATTTGATCTGAACATGGTAAAAAAAATTGTTTTTGGAATCTCGTTAAATGGTCTCTTGAGCAGTGTTGAGGAGACTTTAGTCACTCACTCGTCTTGAGTCACTACATGTCAAAGACTCGAATAATTTGAATGAGATAACGTAACTGATGATCACTTACCTCAGTGATTCGAACTCAACTTGAGACTCCAGTGACTCGACTCAACTGAGACTTGAGGGACCTCTACCTAGCACTGCCATTGAGTAAATGTGAGTGAAAAATTCAACTCAGAAGATTGAGGTTATACTCTGTTTGTTCAGAACTTTCATTTGTTGAGTGTTTTTTGCTGAGAGTACTGCATAAAGATTTTTAAGATAATGACCATTGAGTGAGATTATATCTTAGCATTGAGTGAGATTATTATCCCCTCAGTTGTAATCAGATTTCAGCTTGTGAAATGTAGGGTAGAAAATGTTTGATTTTAGTTGTGAAAGCGAGCCTTGTACTGCATTATCGTCTCATTTTTTGAATAAAAGACAGTTATAACAGTTTATTTTGAATATCTATTTGCAGGGGAGTTGGTATCAAGTTGCATTACATTCTGATACTTCAAATTACAATCACTCACATCATTTGAGTAGACAATCTAACTACTCATCACTTTTACCTCGACAAATGGGAACATCATTTTTGGGTGGATATCAGTCACAAAAATATGAGAAGTCTTTAGAACGGCCCAAGCAAGGAGGAACTGTTTCCTCCGATGCTAGGCTATTGACAGCAGGGCCGGGTCAAAACGGAAATTGGGGCATACGAGCTCCGAGGCGAAGAAAACATAAAGGAGGGACAAATACTGTTGAATCTAGAATGCCTCCGTATTTGTTACGTCGAGGTGGACCGTCCGACAGTTTAGTAAATATGATGATGTTCAATAATGGTACAGCACGTGTTGCAACGAGCAGTGGAAGTCGAAATATACCGAGATCTTCACATAGTGGGTTCGGTAGAATTCTGGACACGTCTTATAATCAACCCCCTTCTACTGCGGCTGGTCATAACCATCCAGTGTCGTTTCAATGGAACAATACACCACCAACTTCGAATCCATCAGATCGGAACAAAACGTTGATTCAACCTATTCAAAAAACTTCATCAAGTAAAGGTGACATCGGTACTAGTTCATGGAGAGGAAATAGAACTACCAACATGACGAAATCCACATCGTTGTGGCCTATACAAGACAATAAAAAAGATACGTCATCCACGGTTGGATATCGTCATAAAAAAGATAGATCTGGAAATTCAGAATCAGCATCGGCATCGAATTTTCAATTACCTTGTAGACAATCAAAACAGGGTAACAGTGCAATCATGCCATCTTCATCTTGCCAACCTTTTTCCACTGAAGACACGTCAACGCAAGAAGAAGAACAACAGCGACCCCACTCAACGTCACAATTCGATGTTAATCTTCAATGGAACACACAAGAAAAAAGTGGAGACGTAACGTTAGAACAACCAAATACATTGAAGCATTCGTGCACCAGCCGAGATATCATCGAATCCAATTTAGTTGCCACGAATCCAGGATTATGGAGACGAGATAGAGACTCATTTCGTCCGAGTAAATTATCTGGTAGACCACGATCATGTCGAAGCACAAAAATACAATCTCACCCTGGAATAGCATTTCATTGTAAACACCCGGATCTGAACAACTGCCCTTTTCCAAGTTCCGCAAGCAGACAACATCAAAATCTAAACATAGATATGAGAAAAAATAGATCGAATGCAAACCAACATATTATGACTCTTAAAACTCCAAATTTGGTGACTGTCGGTACACAAAAACTGCCTGTTAATTCACGACATATGGGGCCTGTAAGGGGCCGAACTGGACCGGGTCCGTTGCCTATATCATATAAGCCACTAGAAGCGAATGATACGAACCAAGTAGCATTGCCTATTTCTGGATCAAAATCAGCACGAGATCCGAATTACTTTGTTCACAATCATTTTCATCACCATTATCATCACCATCATCATTTTCATTACTCAAGTGAACCCGATCTAACGTTATCACAATATAACGATGAAACGCATCCCAACGCAGAACACAATCCTGATCGAATTCGAGCACAAACAGCAGACAATAACGACGAAACAGCAGAAATACGAGAGAGAAATGAAAGTCTGTACTATTCGTACAATAAATGGAAAGATATGAAACCACCTGATTCTTGAATTAAACAATGAACTAATCTATTTTCTGCTTATTGTATTGGAGGAAAACTGGGTCACTGAAATATAACGGTACCCCACCTTCAATTGAGCGCCTGATCTTACAGAAATTATTATTTCATTCATAGTTTTATATTCAAATAAATTTTATATGTATATGTATTATATTTTCATCTATTTTACACTTTTCTTCATACAATCTATTGTCTTATAAGATATTTGTGATGCAATGAAAGCTTTAGATGAGAGTTTTAGAGAATTAGTTTAGTATATGTTATATAACATACAGTTCAAAGTGTCAGAAGAGGAATACCGTCAAGGAAATTTGTGTTATCAAAAATTCTAGTTCATTTAAACAGGTATGTTAACCATTTCAGTAAAAAATATCAAAAGCATAATATTGATACAAATAATAAAAATGTCTATCACTTCACAGCATATATGGCTGTTTAAACCAGAGCGTGCAACACACGTCCCGCAAACCACTGAACCTATCTAACCCGAGGGATCCAGTACCCCATTTTTTAATGCTTTTTCTTATTTGTAACGGCACCACCAAGCATAGCTGTCCAATAGGTCGACGCCAGGAAAATCAGCCCAAATAATTGGATCCAGAGAACCGGCTTATTAGCTGGAAAATATGATAATCAGTTAATTATTCCCATACCCAACATCGACTGATAACTGACGAAGGACCATGGTTCGCTATCCGATAGAGTCATGGTTTATGAAAGCAAGTTAAAACCTATTAAAATAGTACAAAACTGTGTAGTGAATAACATACATATGTTTGTATTTTTTATAGGAATTCGGAGATGGACCAAGGTTGAATGGGATCTCAATACCTGGAATTTTAATGAACTCCGCTCTTCGTGTCCAACCTCATCCTCCTATGTTGTCAAGCAGCGGGGCTCGTAACCATAACAACCCACCATATGGTATGATAACTATGACTCAGTACCAAGCTGCCTCAGCATTAGCCCCAACTCGGCAAAGGGTATTGGGACAACTGACAAATGTGCCAGCGGGAACAACGGGTGGGTCAAATAACCCAGGACAATTATATTCAATAACAAGTATTGGGCATAGCAGCGCCCCACATCGGCATTCAAGGTACATGGCAGTGAACAGCTTCAACCAACCTGCGAATGGGTTTTACGGAAAATCCATCGGAAAAATCAATTCTTCAAAAACTTATGTGATACCTGATGGACAAGTAAATTTGGCAAATCACAATATTCTTGCTCGAAATGTTGGAAGCTCAATAAATAGTCAAAACTCAGGTCTTTCAGCATCAAAATTTGCATATCGTCAAAAACATGACGGTACTGTGGAATGGAAATTGGATAACGCAGCTGTAGCTTTTCAAGATAAAAACAGAAGAGTTTATAGTGCTGGTGTACGAAACAGAGAAAATTCAGGTACGTAAGCTAAAGATACATTTATTTGGTGAAGACTTCTGTATGCTCTTAATTTTAGCAGCAATTCGTGATTTACTACCTGAAATTGAAGACTACCTAAAACAGATAACAATATTTGTTAATTAATAAAATATTAAGAGTTTATTCATCCAAACAGCTACCTTATTTGACGGCACACTTGGGGGAATTTTTGAATCCGTTTATGCCTGTGACTAAAACAATTTTTTCCCGATAAGACAGGTTAAATGAATTACATAAAAAACAGTGTCCAGCAATCCTCGCACAGAATTATTCTCAATGGGATCGAACTCGAGCAGGGTAATCAATAATCATACTGCGACAACAAATTTCATGCTATTTTTGAATATAAACCATGATATAACTATGTAGATACTGTAGAAAAATGGGCACTCCCGTAGTATATGTACCAGGTTAGGGTTAGGCCATAACCTCATTTTGATTTTCCTTGTTTTTATTCTATTACGAGTTCGGGGACTGTCTGTGTTAGCCAAGTGAATATATCCCTGCCCATAGGTTTCAGTCCCTTTAAACAACTTGATGGGAAATAGGCGACCAAAATTAGTTACCTCCATATTGATACGTACACTTCTGCAGCGCGAAAAATGTCTGGTTGATCTTTTAATCATATCTTTGCAATAACAGCTGTATCAGGCAATAATTACATTCATGGATTTGAATACCTTTACTATTCTTAATAACGCATTTTGTGAACAATGCCTTTCCGATGTCATGATTTTGCTATACCGCCGATATTTTACAGGCGAATTATTTATTTGATCTTTGTTGTTTCAGCTACACGTGGACATAGTGGGCATTCGAACTCAGGAAACGAAAGACAAGGATCAGGATATATCAATGCTGGTGGTGGTAATGATGCAAACACCAACGGTTTACCTAGTGTTATAAAGGTGAGTGTCTATGATAAACTTTTTACATTTTGTGATAGACATTAAAAATAAGATAAAAATGTCGCTATAGGTTCACGTGCAGTTTTGTGGTTATACACTTCTTGGGGCCTAATGATTCGATTTGAACCTACTTGATGACCGCTTTTTTGGGTAAACAAATCTGTATTTTCTTATAAATCTCAAGAATATTTTTTCCTAACCGATTCTCAACGTTTTATAATATAAGCTTGGCTGGCTGACATCTCATTGACAGCCAAAAAAGCAGCTCTAAAAGGGGAAACTCATTCTAAAAAATTCTTCATCTATTCTTGGAAAAGTTATGTGAAAAGAATGAATCTTAAGACAACTGAATCTTATGATCTTATGTAAAAGTTACCAGTTCAAGGCAGGTAAAGGGAAACTTGAACAGATCAACTCAGATATATTGATGATGGAAGAAGTCATGACTAACCAGTTATTAGGTGAACACCAGCGAGTTCTCTCACACATATTTATTCCCCATTCAGGATTGAAAGGTTCAACCTTCATGTTAATAAGTAATCACCAAATTAAGCATGCTTTATATGTTTTGCTCTTTTTGACATGTTTTCACAAGACATTTGTACACATCGTCCATTTTTTCAGGTCACAGCTGCAAATAATGATCTGAATTTGTCTGTTGTGTCTGGTCCTGCCCCTGTAGCTCACCGATCAGAATTACTCGGAGGTGTTTTAGAAAAAGCAACTGTTATACCACCAGGAAGTAGAAGCAATTTGGACAGTCCTATTCCTTCCTTAAGGTAAGATTGCATAAGAAAATATGACAGGTTTCGAATTGGCATCAGAACCACAAACTTTTTCCCATTGACGAAATGCTGCATCAACGTTCTCATTTTAAAGATATTATTAACGAGTGTTTTCTTTGTAACTTCTGAATTTGTCTGGCAAAAAAAGGGTGCTACCAAAGTATTTATGCCAAGATGACGCACAACCTGAACATAGTATGTGTACCAGAATAGGGTTGTTCAGGTTGTGCGTCATCTTGGTACGAATACTTCCAGAGCGCCTAAAAAATTTATTTTTCAAACGCTGGCTGTGAGCTCTCATCCATTTACAGTCAGTGTATGATCTTTTTAATTTCTGGGTTAGTACACATGACTTTGGTTCAAGCAAATTTTATTGAAAAAACAAAACAAAAGTCACAACAACTGTTTCCAAATCACTCCTCAATATTATATATTTAATTGTTTTTATATGATTGACAAATATTGTAAAATAGAATAGGAATTTTCATGTTTATCCCAGAAAGTGTCTTGCTATCTCATATTGAGATCGAGATTTTGTTACGCTTTCAATTGAGTATATTTATAAATATCCATCACTGGTAAACTCTTCAATAATATACTTTTCTTTATTACAGAACAACAAAATCTGAACGAATTAGAGGAGCAACAAATAACTTAAGAATAAAGGTAGATTTTTTAATATATTAAATTTAAACATAAAATTTGTTTCGCTCTTTTTCTTATTCAAACATGGGGGTTATCACTCTGTAGTTGGGAGGACTGAACTTGACTCGGAAACTCAGATGACCCTTGACTCGAGACGAAGGTTTGGGACTTATACCCAACACTAGTAATAAGGTCGGCGGTGCGACACATTGTGCTAAGCGTTAGGAATCGCCACCGCACCTTCGATTACCCCCAAGGATTCGCAGGTTTGAATCTGGGGAATAATTATGTACGAGAGGATTGCTGGACTCCTCGCCGCTGTAGGCTGGCTCCTTCCACCATTATGTCTGTGCATCTGAAACAAATAACTGGCTAACTAATTTCATACCTAACATGACTGGTAACTGGATGAGAGGTTCATCATATGATTGAGCTGTCTTATAGGCTTTCCTATCCCCCCAGGATGAATGTCTTGGCGTCATTGGCACGTGAACTGAATAGCTATACCATAACAACTTAAATCGGTAATCAGATGATAGCTGTTATTCGATATGATTAAGCCTTCTATCCCTTGTCTCTGCCGCAGGATAAATATGAATTCTATCATATTGTTTTCACTACTATTTCTGAATTTTCATGTTCCAGCAGTGACTTTCTTTAATATAGCAATATAATTATTAGCATGCCGTTTTTCACCTCAAGCTGCTTGTCTGGAACCTTATTTAGAGCATGTGTGGAAACATATCATCATTGATCGTAATGACTGATATAAGCAAACTACAGCCCGGGGCCAAATCCGGCCTGATGGCTAATTCAATCAATTTTGATGTTTTTTTTTAAAAATAGCTCAAAAAATTTGTTGAGATTGTGATTAAATTTAGTTTCGTCACGAGGCTTATTGTTTTCCACTTTTGCTTTATGGCCTGCCAGTCTAGGTGGGCAAAATTTTTGACCCCTGGTTTAAAAACCTTGTCCACCCCTGATATATCATATAACACCAATGCTAACAGTGTTCTAGAAAGTCAATCCCGACCTTATAAATTCAGCTTCCCTTCTCCAGTAAAAATGTGTGTATGTTATTTTTTTTTTCTCAATTTAGTATGTGATTTTTTTACTAAGTGAAAAAATTAAATTACACTATCACTTGCTGATGTCTTGTTTTCTGAAATTGAGTATTGATAAAATGTATTCCTATTCCTTTTTCAGCAACTTGAACTGCGTGAAAACCGAGCCACTGTGATTAGTTGAACAATAGTAATGATTCTCAACAATGACTTGCAACTATTAACATAAAAAGGTTCCAACAATATACACCTGTGTCATGCCTGAAATGTAAATAACTCGACTTTGAATACTTAGGCCATGTATGGATCATGTTAGGTATATCATATTTTACCACTGAAGAACAAACCATATTTTCTTCCATTTTTGCCAAAAAAGTGTTTCCTACCACTTTTCTGTGTTTTCATAATAATTTTACCTGGTATTTTTTATGTATGTTACCTTGATATATGACGTCATAATAATGTGACGCCATCACACTTTTTTAATGTTTCATCAAATTAAAACGGTACAATTTTGCATGCGAATTAGTGTCGAATTCACTACATCCATTTCATGCACAAAATTTAGTGTGTATGGTAAAAATTAATATTTCCAAATGATTTTGTTTTATATTACACACCTTCATCACACCCATCAATTACGTCAGCGTTCAAAACAAATTTGCGAATAAAAAATAGAGATTTTTATATCACAAAAAGGAAATAAAATACTATTAGTGATTATAACAGCAAAACAAGACAATCTTTTGTTTTACTGATAACATATCTATCATGTATGGGCCAAAATATATATGGCACCTGATAATCGATTTATATATTGTCTAAGCTCGATCTGAGAAAATTTTAAAAATTGCAAGTTTGCAAATTACTTTAGCGGAATTTTGCCGCTGGCTGAATTCAGTGACGTAATGTTAGGATTGTATTTATAATGAAAACAAGGTTTCTTCATTCAAATTTTCCATAAAAACATTTTTTTGGCAGCGAATCCGCTATCAAACAAATTTTGTTAGCTAATTTCTTAAATAAAATGGTAGATTTAGGGTTTGACGTTAAAAAAAATTCGTCCAAGTATTGAATTCCCCAATTTAAAGTAACTTTGTCCCATAATGAGATTCCCTGACGCATACAGCAAACGGTCAGGAGTTACGTTTTAAATTATTAGCTTATTATCGTTTGCTATTTTGACTATTTTACACAAAAATGGCGTTTTTTTTTTTCATTTTTGCATTCCCTCTACCCAAAAAAATTTCGAGACGAGTCAACTGACGTTTAGAAGCGTCTACTTCTAAATATTTTCGCCACACACCCTAAACGAAATACGTTTTATTATGCATTAAATAAACGGCATCCATAATTGATATGAATTCTCACGCAAAAGACTACAATTTTCGTCCTAAACAAACTCACGGTAGTCCATAGTATCCGTACACGCTGAGCGTCTGTCAACATAACGATATTTGCTAGGAGGCTGCAGGAATTTAGAGCAATTTGAGCAAATTTTTAATCCGTAAACATTTACTAGGATTTATATATTGACTGTGGATGGTAGCGAGCAGCCTGAAATGCTTTTGTACCGAGGTTTAATATAAAACGAGTTTTAGAATCAGGATCAGGGGTTTTAAACGGGGTTTCGTCGCACCCTAACGTCCCGCCAGTAGCCTACTGTCCAGGGGTTCCGCAACTTTCCATAGGTGGTATATCGTGATAAATGTATAATGTTTGAATATAATACTATATAAATTATTAGGTCTGTTGCTATTATTATACGTACCACACTTTGAAGATGATTTTGTTTTGCCAGTATTAGGTTTGCTTATTTGAATATTGATAGTTTATACAACTCTGACAATAGAAGACAATCCACAGGTTTTTTTAAGTACTAGTAAGGAAAAAAAAAATGAAAATCTAGATTTTTGTTTGTGTATAATTGTACCCAACAGTTTCAATAATCTAGGACGTTTTGCATAAAAGTTATGTTTTCTCTGGAATATGTTCCAAATGAACTTAGTTTATTTTTTGGCGAATACCATTACAATACAATTGGGTATAATAATAAATTGGTGATACACATACGCCTTGCGATTTTAGTTTTAAAATTATTGGTTACATACTTTGATATTTTGTATAGTAACAATGTTACAATTGGTAAACTTGTAAGTTTTATATTGCACCACTTTATTGAGATGTCCAAATAATATACTTGTTTCGGAGAAAACGCGACAATATCATTTTTCTTGAGATCAAATCAGATGAATCAGATCAAAAATATGAAATTTCTGTATTGTATTTCACAAAATAATACTATTTATTTCATTTTACTATAAAACATGGCATCGGATAAAATTGCATTTATAAAATTTATCGGACAAAATTATAGGTAATATTACATTTAGTTTTTCGCCGCACAGAAATAATTATTATTTATAATGTCGCGCATTACCACGATACATACATATATATTACCTTCAACGTGTTTTCTGTCATATTTCTTATTCAGAAATTTTCGACAGTTTTGCGTATTTTTACATTTGATATGATGTGTATCTGCAATCACTTATGAGTGAGTTCCTGCTGGGTTAGGAAAAACTCAATGTTCTCAATTGACCACCGAATCAAGTTTTATATCGCTTGAGGTATAAAGTGTGCGCTAAGATTAATAAATTCAACTGCGCAACCTGCATTCTTAGATAATTAGAACGTTCAGTCCATAGAGCGCACTGAGTTTAATTTATTTTCGTTTATTCACTTTAGTAATTGTACATCTGCACTGTGATTGGTATTTTTTTTTGTTTGCCACCCTGTTAAAAATATCGTCTATGTATTTAAATCTTGTTTTCTTCTTCATTTCTTTGGTTGGATTATTAGTTGACAAGAAGTCACGAGTTCTTCCTCACTGTAGAACAATATTTATTTTTTGTTTCTTCCGTTTGAAAGATATTTTCAATAAATTATCATTATGTACGAACGTTTGATTTGAGAGCGTAATTCGTTATTTTTACTTGCTAAAGACAATTCTGTAATGATTTCATGGCAAGGTGATTGTGTTATGATAGTAAGCAGTGCTGATAAATGATTACCCAACAAAGGTATTAAGTTCGAATCCCAGGTGGGAGAGTAGGTGTGAACGGATTTCTGGGATCCTCACAGAGTGGTTCGTATGATCAGATCATGAAATTAATATCTCCGTCCTAAGTGGAGTCATTTAGGCTTGCTATATATATGTTGAACCGTTATCCTTGCACATAATGATATTGCGTTGTCGTCGCATGTTTGGTGTATCCTGATTTATCCTCACTTTGGGACGCTAACCGTTGAAACTCGTCTCCGAAACAAAAGATTAGCTTAGTAAATCAGGTACAAGATGATGTATGAGTTGCGTACATTAGAGCAATTGAGAGCGAGGTTATTTGTTGGTGATCGAATATTAGTTTGAAACAATTTCGCACGGCTGTAAAAATACACCAACCTTGTTGTTAGTGATAAAAAATAATTTGGTAACAATTGAGTTCATTTTTTTAAGTGTTTGTTTATGGACTATACATTTTGTTTTGAGTTGGCTTGGAATGTCAGAAGTATGCTCAAATTACGCTGTTTGTTATGAATGAAATCATTATCCATTTGCATCGACTTACTGCAGAAACTTGGACATTTTGCCCGGAGGGAATTCTTCTCAAATGTCTTGAAAATTGATATATATAAATAAATTGATATCCGTGATAAGTTCGCGTTCCAGAAATATTCTGCATGATAACTACAGTTATATTGAAATTATGAGTGTTGACTACAATTTTTGTTGACAGGGACTGTCAAATTTATGTAAAGGGAATTCCTTCACTGTAAAGTTTTAGTGGGCAACTCTATGAAAAGCAGATTTGGATTTAAAAAACCCACACATGATGTGTATTTGTACTGTCAATGAAGTGCAATATATTTATGTCGATTTTTTTTCATTTATTCATTCAGTTGGCCTATTACAATGTCCGTGGCATAAAGAAAATTTGTTAGGTTATTGGGTGAAAACGATAAATACATAAAACTCATTTGCATTTAGCAGAAGATGTAAAATAATTATAGGTCAGCCAGTATTGGAGTAATGAATTTTAATATCATGCTACCTACATCGAAAAGATGACATCTGGCAACACAGTAGTCATCATTCTAATTCTTGCAATAATGGGCAAAGAGGCCCATTGTAATTATGCAGGAGTCCGTGCATATGATTCCTACGCTGCAAAAGGATTGGTATGGAACAAGATGGCGACGGTGTGCATGAGGCGTGATGTTGTTATCAAGTATACGATCAAATACAACTCTAACAGAGGCTGTTGTCCGAAATTACTTCTATATAGCGATGAACAATATCAAAGAATTATCTTCCTAAAAGCATTGCAAATCTTAAGAGAAAATGAAATCGCTAAGAAGACGGGAAGGCATGAAATTGCAACCCCTCTTTCAAATCCGACGATTATCCGATTTGCAAATGGTAACATATCACAAACAAGTTACCCAGGGCGCAGACGACGCAGTGCCAAAAAATTTCTCGTCGAATACAAATTTTCAGAAAATGATCATCTTACTCAAAAGTCTTCCTATAATGCACATACGAATCCTGTTCATAAAAGGTTCAGAATTAAAACAAAACGTGCAAAAGGCATTGAAAAACATTATGACAAGTTTTTGACCGGTATTCATGGCAACTCGATAAATTATAATGAACCTTTGAAAGATTCGTTTCCATTTTTTCCAAAAAACAATCGCTGGAAACGTGATGTTGCCAAGAAAGATACCAGCATAACATATAACGATGTTATTGAAAAACTTTATTTTGACAACACCGCCCTAATGAAAGAAGCAGAAAAAAGAGTGAGAGAAGTCCGATCCTGTAACATGGCTAATCGTGAATTAACTCAAGTTTTGGACAAAACACAGGTAAGCTTAAACCAGCACACACGCACCATGATGTAATGGTTGTTTCCCTTACACCTAGAAAAATTTCCCTGTGCGGTAGGCTACTTAACTATTGCGAAATGATAGATGCTGGAAGGTGTTTTCGCGAATTGGCACATATGAACTTCTTACATGTTCGAAATCGGAACTATCATTGTTATTCAAAACAATTGATGGGTCTAGTGTAGTTTCGTACCTAAAGTACTCCTAGTAGGCGTAGCATAACAATTTTTGCCTATGTTAATCCTAACCCCCACCTGACTGCGTCATTCAAAAATTACGTCACTACGACGTCACAGTGACGTAATATAGCCTTTCAAACTATATGAACTGTCATCCAAGACGCACAGGCGATCACCCAAAATCGATCAAGCTATTTCTCGGTCGCAACGATCCCGACGTGAGAGACATCGCTGTCGTTAGTCAGTTTTTTGTTATCGGCGCAGATGGCATTGTCGATCGTAGTTATACGTTGACAAGCTCTATGACGCGATATGACGTCGTAGTGATGTAATTTTTGGATGGCGTAGACGTAGTCAGGTGGGGGTTAAGATTGATACATAAAAAAATGTTATGCTGCCTCCACTAGAAGTATGTTCGGTACGAAACTACACAAGCCCCAGTTTGTGATCTTGTTTGTAGGTAGACAAGATCACAAGCTGTATATTATGAAGACACCATGTTCAATCAGCAATAAGTTAATGATGATGTAACAATGAACAATTTCTTCATTTCGTATTCTAGATAATTCAGTTATGTCCAAAAGCCGGAATATCAATCGATCCATCAGCACGAGCTTCCAAAATTTGTGGACAAACGATACGGCCTCCATCAAAAGTTTTCTTACCAAATCTAACAGCGACACAGTCGTGGTATGGTTATTCAGAGAAAACTAGTGGAAATAAGAACTTCCGGTATTATCAAGATAATACCTGGCATTTGGTATTACTGAATTGCCCGGGAAGTCCACCATTGAATATTACCTATGTTATAGAATTTAATGTTGTGCAAAACGTTGGAAAGAAGCTAACTGATCCTAATTATGTCGATCCTTTGTTAGATAAAGTTTGCGAAACTACAGTTCTTCCAGCATATTCTATTCAAGACGGTATTCTTTATGGTTCGTCATCTTTTAAAGTTTCGTATTCTCCGATTAGTGTTTTTGCATTATTTTTTACCACGTTATTTTTCTTCTGAGGATTTTATCTCTTGTACATTTTTATAATAAAGAGTCGTTTGTTTCAAGCGAGAGGACAAATGGAGGTATAGTACTGCAGGATTACCGAAAACTGTGCACCAGAAAGTTGGGCTCATCCTAAACTAAACTGCCCTGTTTTTATGCTTAGATTCCTTAAGTGCAACCTGCGGGCCAAATGCAACCCACAAGGAAACATTGTGCGAGCCGTGGAGACGTGCCAACTATGAATTGTGTGCAGCACGCTAAATGAGTTTTTTTTACTTTAATCTGGCACGTGCGAGTAATCCCGATACGTTACAATTCCCTAACAGCTAGCTTGTGCGAAGCAAACAATGCATGTCATAAGATCGATCAATTACCAAAATTTTTGTGCTTGCAACTACTTTAAAGCCTATGTTATATGAAGGTGCGGCCCGCGGTTTCCCCTAGTTATTTGATGTGGCCCCCCTGCATTAAAAGTTGCTCACCCCTGCCTCAAACGAATTCTTCACCTGTGCAAGCTGTTCATATACCTTACACAAAATAGTACTCAGGCTGGTTCTTATCTCATTACCTCAAAGGCCGTCTTCTAGAGTAGGAAAAAATATGATTGATACAACTTATCTTCTTCAACTTATCATAAAACCATGCCCGTTGGTTGCTTTGCCTAAAACTCGCTGTAATAACAACGGACTATGATAGGCTGAACTTTCAGCCCTCGATTCTCAGCCAATCCAATATAAAACGTATACGCGATGTAAATATTTTGTTAGCTTACTTATATCGTCACGCTAATAACCGAATTGCGTAAGTCATTTTTAGCAGTTTTGAGAAAAACGTAAAAAACTTCCTAATGATATTGTTATTTCATTGAGAGTCAATAATTTGCCATGGTTCAGTTTTTTGATCGTAGCCGGATTTAAGTTAATTTGCTTGACGCAGTTAAGTGACGTCATAATGGCGCACTGTGAATTAGGCAGAAATGTGTCTATGACTTGGGGACATACGCAATTTTGCAACTTTACTATATGCATCAGTCCTGAAAACAAAACATTCCAAAAACGAATGTAATTATCAGTATCTACAATGTATAATCCCCAAAATAGCTAATCAGTTTCAATTACAATAATTTTTTTATGTTTAAAAATATATATTTATTATATATAACACGTTCTGCACACCTATCGAAATAAGACTAAGATTAAATATAAAGAATAAAACAGCAATGCACCCAGTATAAAAGTCAACCAAGGTGAATTGGATTCGGACAGTGAATATCACAAGTGCACGTCTCCCTATACTGTAGTATAAATTCAAATTAATACCCACTAAGCTAGAATCCGAGATGCAAAAACTCGAAAATACTTCGCCGAGGTTAGTTTGCCTTTGTGACGTCACAATAATCATGGGATAACAATGATAATTCATTATGACAAAACAATTGCGCAAATGTGCATGTCATACTAAATCTCCATTTTTATGGGTTTCGAAATTCTTAAAATAAAATCTAACAGACAGGTGCGCAGCATTACATAAATACCTATTTTATAAAAAACTCGAAATCGCCAAAAATGACTTACGCAATTCGGTTATTAGTGTGACGATATATTGCATTGTGAAGGTGTGAAGCAAGATGTCTCCGCTAATAAAAAATGTCATAGATGATGGATGGAGGTAGAAAGTGACGCCCGATGATGGTGCTTCTTAGAAATCCTCAAGAGCATAAAGCAGTGTTTGGCATCTACTTCGTAACCGATCCGCATACTTTCTCTTGTACTGGTTTGAAATATGGTTGTCAAGTTTTGCCATTTTTTTTTCATTTTAATCGCTAATATGATAACTAGAATATCGGTTAGAAACCGAAGACTTATCGATCGAAGGTTAGGGGATCCCCCAAAACAGTGGTCTTACTCCATAGTGACACCGTGTGTCCCATCACTAATTAATTAATAACTCGCTGATTATAAGACATAATCCATCCAAAATCAATAGGCTTCTGATCCCAGCTATGATGAATGCACATGCAAAATTTGGAGCAGATTCAACCTTGCTTTAGTGAGATATCGCGTGCATCTAACACACAGACATACGAATACCTATCAACATACTTACCGATCTTAAGATCGATAAGTAATTAGAAACCGCAAAATGTATGTGAGTGAAATATTGAGGGTGGACGGAACCCAACACAGCTCAATTATGCTTACATTTCAATACATCCGTACATTACACCCATAGACGTTTTCACCGTGGACATTGGCACATCTGACCACTTGCACTTAGGTTGATTTGCATCCGCGTGTGCAAAGATTCGTAGTTGCATATGTCTGTGGATGCAAATTTACGTAATTTCGCTGAAGATGCGTCTTATTTTGTTCTGATTGAGATTACCGAATTTATTTCGCAAATTCGCTGAAGTCTTCGTCATCGCCGACATAGAGGTTGTTGCCGGTATTTTTTCGACAATCCGTGGTCATTGTGACGCTAGAGTTATGCGAAATATTCTGCAGAATGATTACCAAACGGGCAATACGCTTTGCACAATGCCTACCTTATAGATTAGTTCTGTCTGGCTACACATTGTTATTGTATTATTGACAGTTTCGTTGGATTAGATGTTTTATGTGTAATAAAGATTAGCAATGGTTTAGAATTGAATCATAAAGCTATAATGAAAGTTCTACCTGGTGACAGATCCTTCTGAAATCTCTTCTAAATAGACTGACTATGTAAAATGCCTATTTTTTTAATAAAAACGCTGCGTTCCTCAAAATATTTTACGATTTATGTGAAAAGTACCCTACCTCCTAAAAGATAAAGCCAATCTACAATTTTATGCCTTTCTTCCACGCCACTTTTATGCCATGTTAGTTCTATCTAAAGATGCTTATTGTTATTTCTAAATCAATAAGAAGCCAAGTTTCCCGACACCTACAAAAATATTACAGCCTTGCTGACAAAAGCACTATTACAGTATCTATTTCAGTATCTGATTCAGCACATTTATTGTCGTTTCTTACATGCCGTAATAATAAGAATAATTAAAGATAGAAGAACAAAAATAAGAAAAGACAAAAAATAGAAGTAATTAATACGAATAGTAAACAACAAAAATGAAAAAAAAATCAATAATATTGAAAAATATAAAAACACGGCCGTCAAGTTTTCTGTCCAGATTACAAAAATAAAATAATAGAATATTCCCACTCTTATATGCAACAAGATATAAGTAAGAGAATCGCTGAATATATGTCCGCTGCACAAATCTTGCAAATGTGTGAATAAAAGTAAACGCCTAAAGGGGTTATAGGGGGTTATGGAAAATATGAAATCTATGATATGCAGGAGATGATATCTTTTAAAAGCTGGACCTGACAACAGCCTCGAACTCTATAACAAGGGTGTAAAAATGGGTAGTCCATATATGCTGCACCAAAATTTCTTTTAGAAATATTATATCCCTACGTTGCAGATTGTTTGTTCAAAGCCTTGTATATAGCATAAACGCGAATTATCGCCATAAAAATTCTTCAGTTTTAAATAATGGTGGTTTTCTCTTCTTTTAGTGTGATAAATGGACAGGTAATGCCTTATAGCCAAATTAAACGATTCAGTATTAATGAAATAAGAGTATTGTGAAATTTGAGATGGTCAAAATCATTGTTCGTTTAAAAATCACCAATTATGCAGTGAAAGCGATGATATATGTCATATGGCATATATCATAATTTTAATGAAAAATGGTCTACTACCATGATTCAAAATTAAAATAAATTGCAGTTTAGAAGAAACGCAGATTATCAAACTATTTTTGATATGATAATCTTGAAAACATTCCGTATAGCAAAATTACAAACAAATCAATAAATATGTGCAAAATTTAGCAAAAACCAAAATTTACAACGATTCACCAATTTATAGAAAAGCACCAAAACCAGGCTACGAATCTTTTCAAATTTGAAGCACCAAATTTTTACTCCAAAAAAATAAAAAAAAACTTTACAAATTATGAAAATTTATGTCAAAAAAAATTGAACCATTTTAGTGTTATTAGGCACACTTGATCAAAAAAATTGCAAAAAACGAGCTAAATTTTTAGGCAACAATCATGAAAAAAGCAAATCCAAATAGCAAGATATAGTTTCAAGCATAGTTTCTCAAATTGGGCCACAGATCTCACAGATTTATTAATACAGATGGAACTGTATCATTTTTAATTGTCATTTATTAAAGATGCGAATTTAACATTCACGGGCAAAAAACTCTTAAAACAGAGAATATAGCATCAAATCACAAGTAGGTAACATTTAATGTTAAGAAACGACCGAGCATCAATGGACCATGTCTTGACAGCACTTTTTTCATATTGTTCATGGTTGACTGATCGATCATTAATGGCTGAAAATGATCTGACTATATATATGCTTCACAAATTTTCTTACAAAGCCATTCGAAAGAAATTTCAAAAAATGAAAAACTAAACACCGAAATTCTGACCACCAAACCAATTAAAATCATGTTACTACTAAAAATACCTGAAGACTAAAATGTTTTTTTTCACCCCAAAATGGCAAAAACTAAATATCTAGAATATTTGAAAATTACCAAAAATGGAGTATTAGGTAAAAATATCAAAATTTCGCCTGTCATTTCAATATTTCATAAAACACATATATTTGAGACCAAATCAAATTAATCTATGGCAGATATGGTAATCCACGCTTGGTTTAACTAAAATCTATCATGGTTCATTTAATTAACATGAATGCTTAAGTAGGAACATATTTCGTCATAAAAGGCAATGAAATACCATGGCACAATGAGTTCTAATTTTTCAAATTTAATTTTGAATATAGATATTTTGATCAAAGAAACAGTATTTTCCATCTCAAATCATTTAATTACGTTCAGGCCAATGATAATACGATATTGTGATTCTAAAAAAATAATATACGTTAAACTAACTGCTGACACTTTCAAATCATGTCAATAGAAAGGCAATGAAAGATCTATATACTTAAAAGCACTCGGTGGTAAACTATGACGTCACATAGTTATAGAACTTTAAAAAAAAAATTATTTCGAAAGTTAGATATTGGAAATTTTTTTTAAAAATGGCTATTTAAAGCTAAACCATAACTCACATAACCTTTAACATAATAAAGTGTCTTGTATATCATAATATTTCTGAGTGGAAATAAGCAAAAATTCACTAAAAATTTTACTACTTATTTTTATCACGTTATGACGTCACCATTATTATGACATTTTTATCACGTTATGACGTCACCATTATTATGACATCATGCAAACATGGGCAGGTAATTTCTGAAACATGCAACATACATATATATATATATATAAAGATCCGTTTTCTTTTCATAGGGGCTCAAGAAAAGTGCCTTTTTCTGAGAGGTAGGTGATACGCCTTCCACAGATGTAACTTTATTTGGCCAATGCTTGGTTCATAGATAAAACAATGCTGTTATGAGAGCAGCTTATCATTGGCCATACTTTACCAAGGCGGTTTATTATAGTCAGTGGGCACACTCGTCTTAATAAGTTATGAGATAGATAATATGCCCTGGAGGTAGAAGACTTCCTTAGAATACGGACATAAGCCATATTGTTTGACTGTATCTTACATGAACTAACCCTAGATGAGAAATATAATCTGGCAGAATTGAGAACCACCATAAATGGTAGAATACTTGACAGATCCAATACATTTTGAGAATCAGTTTTAGTTTTGTTTTTGTTGGTTGAATTTTGAAAAAAAAATACAAGTGTTGATAATTTATACTATTTTGAGTAAAAAGGTTGACTATAGGGGTTCGTTGGAATGCATTTTGTTCGTAAAAGCCCCCCGGACATAAACGTCTTTCACTGAAAAGGGGTTACTCGATGAATAGCTTTCATTAATTTTTTAATACTATTCCATACCGATCTTATCTCAGAGAATGAATGGGAAATAAATTTCACCATAGCATAAAAGATACGAAATATTCAATTTTTGTGGGTCCATTAACGATATTTCAAAAATTATCGATTTTAATGAATTTGAGACAATTTAGGTGAATAGGGAGTAAAAATCAGTGATGGAGCACCATAAAATTTAGTGTTGTTTTGATTCTGTGCTATACAAAACAAAAAACTTGCGCAGTGCGTGTGAAGAACTGTTGCTGTAGCGGTGAAAAATAAAATTCGATGAATAAAAGCAAAAATCATTTTTAGGAAATCCGTAAACCAAAGAATGCAGCACCTAAAAAAATGAAAACGCACAAAGAAATAATACACAAGAAAAAAAACAGTGTTCCTCCTCAACACTGGTTCTATCCACACTGAAAATGGGAACATTACTTCACCCAACTAACAGTTGGGGATACCTGAAACTACCTTTTCTTGCTCCATGCCTTTGCGCAGGTGGATCCGTATGCGTATAACGCAAGGATGCTATAGCAAGAGTGAAAATGACTATTCTATTCAATCCAAGAGTCTCGCTGCACACTTACACAAATATTTTTCTGTAACGTTTCGTCTGACTAAGGAGAGACTTCTTCAGACAAGCATTTTACAACTATGACAAGAAACGCAATTGCATGTACATAAATAATGGTATCAGAATTTGGGTTAGAGAGAAATAACTAAGATTGGGACAGTGCCAGAACAATAGGAGAGCTAAATTTGGATTATATTCAATAAGTAAATTAATGAATTTCATGCTGTCATGCCGTCTGCGGTGTTGGTTAAGTTCATGTAAGGGTCAAGACTATAATGTCAGATAATGACTTAAAAGATGAAATAGAAATCAAGTATAAGCGCTTGATGAAATATAATGTTCAAATTAGCATAAATCAGAAGTTTATCCATCTCGTAGATTCATTCTACGCAGACATTTAAAATACAGAATTACAGAACACATCAGAAGTATCAACCAAAAGAACAAAGATCTCGCAGTCGGCAAACATTTCAGTCCATTAGGCCATTCTATAAATGACTTTTTGATAATCGGACTAGAAAAACTGTATCGAGATCAAACATACCGGCAAACGAGAGAAACTTATTTTATCAACAAATTCAAAACATTGGAACCTCTAGAAATGAATCTACAAGATGGATAAACTTCTGATTTATGCTAATTTGAACATTATATTTCATTAAGCGCTTATACTTGATTTTCATTTCATCTTTTAAGTCATTATCTGACATTATAGTCTTGACCCTTACATGAACTTAACCAACGCTGCAGACGGAGTCACAGGATAACAGCATGAAATTGTTTAATTCACTTTTTAATTGTCACTCACTACACTGTGGGATACTTATTGATTATAATCCAAATTTAGCTCTCCTATTGTTCTGGCACTGTCCCAATCTTAGTTATTTCTCTCCAACCCAAATTTTGATACCATTATTTATGTGCATGCAATTGCGTTTCTTGTCATAGTTGTAAAATGCTTGTCTGAAGAAGTCTGACCTTGGTCAGACGAAACGTTATAGAAATATATTTGTGTAAGTGTGCAGCAAGACTCTTGAAATAAATAGATTACGTCACCCAGTAGCGTTTCCTTTTAATATGTAATCATTGAACATATATGGGAACACTAAGACAATACACTGCTTACTGTCTCAAGCAGCATGTCGAACGATTTCACCCTTCACTTTTGACCTTTGACATAGTCAACAGCCGCTAGACGCCGGTGGTCGCAATACAGGATAAATGTTACTATCTTTATTATGTCCGTTTAAAGAATTACTAAGCATGGCTTGGGTCTCTGTGGGGGTGGAGGGGTTACTCGCAGATGCCGTCGATGAGTTACCCCACGTTCCTTCCTCCACACCCGATTCTAAGTCTAATTCCATAGTTTTTGATTTGTGTCCCCCATTAAGGTGTTTATAAGATATTAATGGGTCTTTTCCCTCTGATTTTGGGGATCTATGAGTTTGGGTAAATGCCCCCGAGTCTCGTAAGTTTTGGTCCGTTTTATGCTGTCCCCCGGGCGGAGACAGGTTGTCCTCGTAATCATTTTCATACGAGCTATCACTACTGTTCCGATTCCGTCGAGTATGCGACTCTGACATGGGTGGAGTGTTTGTTAACGCCGTAGTTGACATTGTGTTTGCCGACCTTGTATCCCCAGAATGTGGATAGTCCTCATTTTGCGGTAAAGATTGAGGAGGTTCGGGAGTGAGTAGACTCTGTTTTTCATCCCCGCCTTCGTAATGTGGTGGGGTAGACGATAATCGTTCGTGTTTTATATTATTCCTTGTGAATTTTATCGCTGAATCGCCGGCGTTCCAACCAGGAGATATCATTCCACCATCATTGTAAGGTTGTCCAGAAGTAGATGGACCATTATGAGGGTAAATGATGTCCATTCCATCAGATAATAAGATTTGGTCTTCTTCTCCAGGCCTGTAACAAAAAAACAATCAGCAATGTGCAAAATGACGTTAAAATGAATATTTTCAAAAATTTTGATTTCATTTTTTGCAAAGCATCCAAGATTACTGAAAATAAATTCATGAATTCTGTTTTTTTTTTGGGGGGGGGAGTCACCCTGTATTATAAAAGTCGGTACATTTGGAAAAAATAACTGGCTAACTATTCCCATATACCAAATCTGGACCATTAAACGGAAAAAAAACTAATAAAATGAGTGTAAATTAGGCAAATATTCTCATGTAAATCATCAGATTTTAAAAGCATACCCGACATCTTGCTGTTTTCCATAAAAGCAAACTTCTTTAAATTCATCATTGACGTCTTTATAAAGTTCGTGAACAATTTCAAGGAATATGGGTCTCATCTTCGGATTGTATTGCCAGCATGTTGCCATGAGATCATATCTTGAATACAAATATGAATTCTAATCCATGACTTTCATTATCAAAAATAGAAAGTCGAAGAATTAAGCAAACTAAACTGGCAACTTGCAGCTAATAACGTCACAGGGAACTTTACTCAGTGAAGGACTTTGCTTGCTAGCCCCCAGAAGGCCTATCCAAGGCCCCATATTAATATATTTTTTTAAAATCTTAAATATGAAAGCATAAATTAAACAGAATTACTCAAAAGTTATGGGCAACCACCGAAAATTCCAAGAATTACTGAAACTATATAGATCAGTTGCTCTCAAACGGTTGGGTGCGGCCCACGAGGAGGACGTAGACAATTTTTTTGAGAGGGCATGACGCTAATTAAATATATTTGTTGGATTTGATATTGCCCGCCTTATTTTGGATATTTACGTTCCATCTACGTGTTTTCACCGTGTTTTTGGAATAAAATATTTTTTTTTCGCCTTACTATCAGTTATTTGTAGGTTATTTTTAGTTAGTTATTTTCAAGGTGGGGAGTGAAATTTGACAGATTATAAAAAGTGGCCTAAAAAGCCTAAAAAGTTTGAAAAAACAACTGATATAGATGATATATGGTGGCGCACTACGCATCGGCAAATGCCGCGAGACTCGAGCAGTATGAGTCATGGCGATAAGAAAAACAGCTATGAGTTGTGAATTCCACATACTAGTCTTTATGAGAATAATTCATATTATTAAAACGAACTACAACGTACAATCGTTTTGGACAATCCCTCGGCCTTTCCATGTATCCACCATCAATAACGAATCTCGTAACTTCATCATGTTGTTGACCTTGGTACGGCTGTTCTGCCAAGGTGGCGAGTTCCCACAAAACCACTCCATATGACCACACGTCTGAACGGGAATCGAAAACGCCGTCTTTGAGAGACTCCGGTGCCATCCAACGAATAGGTAAAAATCCTGAAGAATTAACAAAAAGTATTGAATAAGGAATATAATAATGAAAAACATTTGTTTGTTAATTATTGTAATATGGAGACAGACAGACAGACAGACAGGTCTGGGCAGTGTTCTATTAGACTGCAAACATTTTATTACCACCTCAAGTTGTGTTTACCGATTCTAAGGTTGACTCGAATTTTCAACTTTTGTCTTTGAGAAAAAAATAATACTCACTCAGACCCCAGCTGCAAATTATGAAATAGTAAAACATTAACTGCTGAAAAAATAGATATTATACAGCCTCTTTCTGTTTAGATTGAAAAATTTTGTTCCCAACTTAAAGTCTTAAATTGCACTCTAACAACTGATGCCAGAGAGCTCAAAATGGACTCTCTGACAACTCCTGAGAATTTTGAAATATGATTATGAGGCCAATGGCAACAAAAATGCAGCGAGCGGAAGGCAGAAATACGCTTCATATAAAAAATACTGCAAAACCATACCAGATGCTTGATTATGTGTATTTTTTTCAGTTTGAAACATTCAATTCTAAAATAATACTATCTAATTATTTAACGAACCTCTGCTTTCTTTTCTATAATAATCAGTTTCGTAGATGTCTCTTGTCAAACCAAAGTCTCCAATTTTGACAGTTCCCTCGTGATTAACGAGACAATTACGTGCTGCAAGATCTCTGTGTACGAACTTATTATCAGCGAGATATGCCATTCCGTCTGCAATTTCGGCTGCCATTTGTAATTTCTCTTGAAGAGTTGGAGGCAGTATGTGTTGTGAGTTTTCCTTTGAAAATCAAGATATTGGGATTTGAAAAATGAAAATGAAACATATTGAAAGAAGTTAGACTTTGAACAAAAAGAAAAACAGGTTGAGTGACACTAAACTCTCAATACCTCCTATGCGAAATATTGAAATATGCACGATTGCATGTTCAATGCAACATAAGTTACCTTCACAAATGCCCTATATTCTCCTCAAACACACTCACAAATTTTGATACTCATAAATAACTCAAACGCAAAATTTTCACTCACTCAATTCATAACAAATCTCTCACCTCTTCGGACACACTCACAAATAACTTAAATTAAAAATTTTTCACCCACTCCATTCATAACGAATCTCTCACCTCTTCAAACACCCTCACAAAGTTTAATACTCATGAATAACCTGAATGCAATATTCTCACTCACTCAATTCATAACAAAATCTCTCACCCCTCCAAACACACTCACAAATTTTAATACTCATAAATAACTCAAACGCAATATTTTCACTCACTCAATTCCTAGTGAATCTCGCTTCTTCGAACACACTCACAAATTTTATTACTCATAAATAACTCAAAGGCAATATTTTCACTCACTCAATGCATGACAAAATCTCTCCCTTCTTCAAACACACTCACAAATTCAATACTCATGAATAAATAACTCAAAGGCAATATTTTCACTCACTCAATTCATAGTGCATCCCTCACCTCTTCAAACACACTCACAAGTTTCAATACTCGTGAATAACTCGAACGCAATATTTTCACTCACTCAATTCATAGTGAATCTCTCACCTCTTCAAACACACTCACAAATTTTAATACTCATAAATAACTCGAATGCAATATTTTCACTCACTCAGTTCATAGCAAATCTCCAATCTCTTCAAACATACTCAAAAACATTATTGCTCATAAATAACTAAAACACATTCACAAATTTAATACTCATGAATAAATAACTCAATCCAATATTTTAACTCATTCAACTCATAAAAAGTCACTCACCTCTTCAGAAACTCTTCTCAATCTGAGAAAAGATTTTAAATCTCCAGATTCCATGAATTCCATGATGACCAAGGGATCAACTGTACGAGACACGACGCCCAACAATCTAACGACGTGATGAGCATTAAAAGCTTTCATCAAGCTTGCTTCTTTCAAAAACTCAAATCTGCAGAAAAATAATAAAGTAAAATTAGAATTTGAGTTTGAGAGCAGGAATTCGAGTCATGTCGTTTAGTGAGTTCAAACAGAATAAGCAGACTTTTTTATAAACTAATGGATGAAATAAAAAATGGTAGATGTTTTCATACAATGCTTTTTTGCAATAATTGCACCTAATGCCCCGAGCAAGGCCCTGTATGAGCTGACGCTGATATCCAACGATATGTAGGGTGTTTCTATATGATACTTTTTGAATGATCGAAATCATTCCGGTACAGCATAGATTCTTAAAAGTGCTCCATACAAAGCCTCTAGGAATTCGTGCGAGAAACCTAGAGGCTCCGCGAGCTATTTATTTACTTATTAAAATAAGCAATAATGGCCTTAATAAAATTTGACAACCGCAATTTGAATTTTATTTAAATACAAAGTTGAAAAAAGTCCCAGTTTAAATAATTTTAATTTACTCAAAAACATTAATCGATGAGTAACCAATTTTTTTTTTAATTTTCATTTAAATTTATTGTGGGGATTCATAAATAATAGTCAACCACGGATTCACAGGCTTGACAAAACCAAAAGTTTGAAAACCCCTACATTTCAGCACTTTTAAAAAATGTCTGCGCTGAAAATCACTGCCCTTGTACTTAGAGACCCTAATTTTAGTTCACGACAAAAAATACAGTTACATTATTGATAAATTTTGATTGTTGGATGATATCACATCATTTTGAGTTTATAAACATAGTGCAAACTTTTATTTTAATCTATTTGGTATCGTTTAAAAACTGAATGAAAATATACCTTCGATGTGGATCGGCATTTTCATGAAGTTTTTTTATCGCAACTTTCGTTTCTTCTTGTCCTCTGACGATTGATTTTGCAAGGCCAGAGAAAACCTAAGAAAGAAATCACATATTAGTCGAAGACTTCATAAATGGAATGATTAAAGCTTTATGGCATTCACGAGTAAAAATTTCGGACTCGAAATCCGAAATGCTCATCAATAGGCTGCATGAAAAATAACAAAGTAAACTAGTATATACTGACTTTTCCAAAGTTTCCGTGTCCAATTTCCTCCAGGATTGTAACTTTTTCGATATCAATTTCATACTCATCAGGTACGTAGACATATCTCGCGTACTCTGGATTCATATCTGCGTACATTTGAGAGGGATCGAGTGGCTTTTTCCTGATAAAAAACAGAGGTAAAATACAATAAAATTTACAGGAAAATCAATACCATCTTGAAATAGAGATAACCAACTTACCTTGTTTTCACATAATACAAGACAGCAAGTAGACAGATGAAACAGAAAAAAATAAACACACAAATAACAATAATAATCGTTGTTGAATTTCCCGGTTTCGTTGTGTCACTGATTTCCATGGTTACGGGTGCAGTCCAGTTACCGTCACCTATAAAAAATAGTATTTCTAACTTTAAAACTTTTTCGAGTTGAATCACCGATGAAACAACGACAATATTTGTACTGAGATATTGGCTAAAAATGCCACTATACTAATAATTTTAAAAATGATATTGTCATCTTCGTATCATTTAAATAAAAACACTAAAAATTAATTCCAATCTTTAATACAAGAGTTGCAAGTTCAAGCAGTGAACTGCCTAGTCTTGTTTCCACATTACCTATACAGGTGGATTCCTATGTGAATAGTAAAAAAAAACTGGGTACTCCCGAAGTATCTGAACCAAGATGCCGAACACCGGAACATAGTATGTGTACCAGGTTAGAGTTAGGCCTTAATTTCAGGTACAAATACTACGGGAGTCACTTGGCTAGTCCCTGAACTAGCAATGGAACCAAAATAAGGAATTGGAATAAAGTTATAACCTAACCCTAACCTGGTACACATACTACGTTCCGTTGTCTGCCATCTTGGTTCACATACTTCGGGATTACCAAAAACTGGGTATAAAATACCACATTATATTACAGACACATATCACCACGATCATAAATGTGAATTTATACATTGCTAAAAACTTCCAAATATTTGCAATCTCCATACTTGGATAAGTTGGGAATTTTTTATTCACCCAGAAGGAGAGAAAAGGCGATAATAAGGCTCTATCACACGGCGAACCACAGCCTCTCGTCTGGTTGAGTATGGGATTAGTTAGTATTTGTTTCAGAAGCATGAACTTGATGGTGGAGGAAGCCGTAACTGACCAGCGGTTACAATTACAAGTGTGATGGCAAGCGTATTCCTAAGGCTTAGGATGACGAGCCAATCGCAGAATCAAGACTTCTAGATCCCAACTTGAATGAATAAACAAAACTAGAAAATGTTTCACCTGCTAATGTTACTGGTCTTATTCTCACGGAATAACTACCAGGAGGCAAACTTCTCTGCGGTATGAAATCATATGACATTGTACTTTTCACTGTTGTATTCACATGAGCACACTCGGTGGCGAAGAATTCATTATTCTGTTAAAATAGAAATATAGTTTTTAAATTGTAATTGTTATTTTAATTCAAATATTCAGGAAATCCAAATTTTATTGTTTTCTCATGTCAAAAATAGCAATTTTAGTTGTGAAGTATTATTTTGTTGCAAGACAGAATGATATCAGTTAAACTGATAATAATATAAAATAATATTCTAGAATCCTGTGTTGGAAATGCTCGCATCTTCGGATCGAATTGAGTTGGACTCAGGTCACCACTTACCTTAGACTCAAAGTGATTCAGGTCATGACTGGAAACATACTCAACTAACTGCCAATGAGATAATTAAGTCAGTGATTCACTTGACTTGAGACTCATGACTCGCGTTCATGAACTTCTCTACTCGAGTTGAATTGATTCAACTAAACACAACTTAGTAATTGACTTGATTCGAGAGAATTCCACTCAGTGATTCCCTCGACTTGTGACTAATGACTCGACTTGACATGCGACTTAGAATTTATGAACTTGTACTCTACTCGAGTTCAATTGATTCAACTAGACACAACTCAGTGATTCACTCGTTTTGAGACTCATGACTCGCCATGCGTGTATGGACTTGTACTCGACTCGAGTTGAAATGATTTGACTAGACACAACTCAGAAACTAACTCGACTCGAGAGAACCCCTCACTCGACTTGACTTGTGACTCAGGGTTAGGGACTTCCACCCAACACTGAATGTAAAACCCAGCAATAGAATGAGATTAATTATAAATAGCGACTAAATATGCGGTATTTACCGTACAGTCTATAACAAGAATAATACTCACTCCTGCTTCTGTGCTGTTGATTTCGATCGTAAACTTTTTCACATAAGCGTTCGGATCTACTGGCATTTCCCAATACAATCTTATAATTTCTTTCGGCGGTCCGAGGTTCGTTACTTTAACAGTGTCCGGTGGAATGACGTCAACGCTGTGATTGGCTGACGTTCTTTTCATTGTGATCGCTTCGATGCTGCATTTTGTATAGTTTGAAAATTTCATTCTTGATCGACTTTCTCGTACTTTGAAATGGAGAGTTCGAGACTGTGGGTCAGAAGCATGGTTGCATGCATACACTAGAATATCGTAGTCGGAAAAGTGATGGAGTCTGAAATAGAAAATATTCAGTCTCAAAAGTGTCGTTAAATAAGTCGAAGGCAAACTATTTGAAGTCTATCTTAATACAACCAAACAGCCAAATTTTTGTAATCACTGGTGTATCTTAATACAACCAAATAGAAATTTTTGTAATTACTGGTGCATCTTAATACAACCAATTAGCCAAATTTTTTGTAATCACTGGTACATCTTAATACAACCAAATAGCTTGATTTCAACCAAATGGCATAAATTTTATAATCACTGGTACATCTTAATACAACCAAACGGCATAAATTTTGTAATCACTAGTACGTCTTAATACAACCAAATAGTATCATTTCAACCAAATGGCATAAACTTTGTAATCACTGGTACTTCTTGATACAACCAAATAGCATCATTTTCAAATAACTGGTAAATCTTGATACAACCAAATGGCATAAACTTTATATGACAATACATTTTAAAACAAGCTAATATAATTATTTTCATAATCACTGGAACATGTTGATACAACCAAATAGCATAATTTTCATGAACAAATTTGACTATTTTTAAAAATAAAAATTTTGATTCCCATATCGAATCAAGTTAATATCGAATAGTACAAGTCTTACCCATTTAAGGTCGCTGTCGTTTTGTTCACAATCATTCGTTGCCACATATATTCGGGATCTTCAGGAGGGGGAGTTGTTGTGTTGGTTATAGATAATGTAGTGGTCGGTACTAAAGAAAAAGATATGAGAAAATGAGAATGATGCGCAGACGCAGACAGCTTGGCCATGCCAATATTGATTAATGTAAAGTAAGTCAATTACAGTTACGCTATTAACTAAACGTTTTTCAGTACTCCTGTAGTGTGTGTACCAGGTTAGGGTTAGGCCATAGTTTTATTCCGATTTTCCTTATTTTAGTTCTATTACGAGTTCAGGGACCGTCTCTGTTCGCCAAGTGAATATACCCCCTGCCATAGGTTTCAGTCCCTTTATACAACTTAATGTAAAGTAGGTGAACAAAATTAGTTACCTCTATATTGGTACACATACTTCTGGAATGCCCTATTTTTATACACTTAATAATTTTGGAACAAAATGAAAAAAAAAATGTTCACCAACGAACATGATAACTTACTTGAGGTAGAGTTGATAGCACGGGTTGCCATAGTAATATTAAAGAAGTTCGCACGACGTATTCGAGATAATGATCTTTTGGATCTATAAAGAAGCACAATGATTATTATCAATTGCAGTTCACTCTATTATTATTAATATTTGTTGAATTTGATATAGCCCACCTTATTCTGGATATTTAAATTTCTTTATTTTGAATGTTTAGGTTCCATCCACGTACTTTCAACATGTTTTTTGAATAAAACATACTTTTTGCCTTACTATCTGTTATTTGTACCTTATTGTTAGCTTGTTATTTTTGAGGTGGAGTGAGAGACTTGACAAATTCTAAAAATGGGGCGCGGCCTAAAAAGCTTGAGAATCACTGTTCTAGAGAGAACATAACTTTTGTGCAAAGCGCCCTAGAGTACTGAAACTTTTGGGTACAATCATACACAGACAGAAGTTTGAATTTTAAATAAATTTTCTTCATTTTCGAAGAAGCAATTAAAAAATTCAAAAGTTCTGTTTTTTAAGTGGTTCCTAATCTTTTCAGTCCAAAGGACCATTTTGATGATTTGTATCAAAATCTTGTGTAAACAACCGCAGATTTTAACCCACGCATCCCGTGGAATCTCTCTGTCGACCTCTAGGTTGGGTGTTATACAAACCCCCAGTTGGAAACCACTCATATTAGGTCCTGTGAATCGAGCATTTTCGATTTTACAAATTATTCAAAATAATCGAACAAACAACTTAACATACATACCTTGTCGAACTACTATTAAAATCTTCAACAGTGACAAAATCCTCAGGTAGGCCTGGAGCCCTGAAAAGTAAAAAGAAAATTGCTGATTCAATATATTATTTTCCTTCCAATTATTAATTAAATTCGATTTAATTATTAAATGTTTCGTAATTTGAAATAAATTATATTTTTAACAAACAAATTCATTACTTAAAATTACTCAGAGCGGAGTTCAACGCCAGGAAGTCAAGCAATATTAAAAACATTGCTACATGCTGTCAAGCTCGCTTGCAGCAGCTGAGCGCATTTCGCTAAATTAATTAGCCAAATGGGGCTCACCAAATGTTATAAAAAAAAAAAAAAATTAATTACTTAATTAAAATTACTCAGCATAGAATACAAAGCAGTTCAATTTTAATAATCATTGAAATCAGCTTTTTTTAAAATCGGGTGAAAATTACGATAATGGCCATATTTTCATGAAACGTGAGATTCAATTATTAAAATCAAAAAAATTTGAATTTTTCGAGCAATATTAAAAAACTTTTTCCTTTGAAAAGACTAAAAATAACAAACGTTCAGCTTGACAAGATGAAAATACTTACGGGAAGAAAATATGATCTTGTAGATAATTTTCAAATTCCGAAGATTCTTTCGCATTTTCTTCATCTTTCTTTGATATTACATCCTTTTCACAATTACATTCCTGTTTGCCGGTAGATGCAGGAGTCGTCTGAAAATAACATTTATTACAATAAAAAGAAATCTGTTATTTTAGAATCCCAGTCTGTAATTAATTTCCAAATTGAATAAACGATTTTTTCTTCATACTTGTGGATATATGGTTAACTTCAAACACTTTTTTCTGATGTTTTGAGCTTGATAAAACATGGTCTAGCAGCGTGGCACATTGTGCTAAGCGTTAGGAATACGCTCGCCATAGCATATCTGATTACCCTGCGTGAGTTCACAGGTTCGAATCTCATGCTGGAATAGTTATGTGCAAGAGAGTTGCTGGACTCTTTGCTGCCATAGGGTGGTTCACGTAACCGGCGGTCGGTTACGGCTTCCTCCATCATCAAGTCCATGTTTCCGTAAAAAATACCAGGCTAACTAATCCCATACCCCAGGATGAATATGTAAAATCCTATCATATATTGCAAATTTTTAGAAAAATAGACACTTTCTGGGTAATTTATCACACAAAAAATCAAGATTACAAACCCCTTCATCTTTCGGTGTCTCTGGGTTGACAGGTTTAGGAGAAGTCGGTCCTTTTGGAATCATTGGTTTAAAAGCTGAAAATATTTTTTTTATATTAGTCGATCAGTACAGAATATTGAATTGTAATATATTAAAAAAAAGCAGAAAATGAATCTGCTTCAAACTGTATTCAGACGTATGCTAATTGCTAACAATATGTTCATTCTATGTTTCTTGTACTATGCTGTATCCGTATGTGACATGTGTCACAAGGATGATCGAACAAGATGGAGTCACAAGCTTATAGCAACAAAAAAGCAGAATTTTATTCTACATAGAACTATACTCGATGAAATTTATACTATAAGCCATTGCATTGCTCCCAACATTTCTTTTTTACCATTTTTTGGATCTCTTTATTCCTCTCTCGCAATGCATAAAATGTTTTCCATTTCCAATATTTATTATATCTTTAAAAGACCATTACCTAGTATTATCTGCAACTCACACTGATACTAAAAACGTTCACTCCTATAACCTCTCAACAAATACATAAACATACTTGAATGTTTGCAGTAATTGACTTCGCGAATAGAAGCTAAATCTTCTTTTCTCTGTCTTTTCCATTCAACAATATAATGTGTTATTATTCCGTTAGGTAAAGAAGGTGGATCCCAAGCAACTTCAATAGATGACACTGTAGTTCCAGTTGATCTTAGATTTCGAGGCTGAGTAGGTTCTGAAAAGATTTGAAAGTTTTGTAAACTGTTCAAGAAAAAGAACCATAGTTGGGAATTATCAAAAAACAGGTTGATTTTATTTACTCTTTACGCTTTGAAAAATATATATACAGGATTGCGGAGGCTCGTATCACTAATAACACTCAAAATGACGCAGGTCATTTACGGAATGACTCGAACTTGTCATTATCTAACTGAGTGATTGGCTCAAATTCAGAATCGACTCGAGACGCAGATGACTACAACGTATAAATATTTTGAACCAGGACTGTGCAACCTGCGGCCGTGGGCCAAACGTGGCCCACAAGAAAGAATCATGCGGCCCGTGGAGTAGTGCCAATTTTGATCATCTGCGTTTTCAATTTAGCTTCAGAATAATTCCAATCCTTATGCGTTGCAAAGCCTATATCTGAGTCCAATTATTATCTATGCCTATGGCATTAGAATGCCCAAAATTTTTTTCCACTGCAACTACTAGAAAGCCTATGTTAAATAAAAGTACGGCAAACGTAACCAGGTATAACATTTTATTCTACTATAATCTATCATGTTTACTAAATTAAAAATGTACCTGCAGGTCTTGTAGTGAAGTACTTAATATCGGATGCAGCTCCACTTTTTGCAGTGGAGGTTGTGTAAGCATGAATATAGTATGCATATTGCGTGTAAGCCTTCAGATTTGAAAGAAGTTTAGAGGTGTTTCCTGGCTTGGTATAATCTGGTAATGTTGGTGTAACTGTACCATTTGGTCCAACATGGTAATATTGGTCCTCGGATTTAGTTTTGTCTTCAACTTTCCAGCTGTATTTTGCAAAAAAAATTGGTTTGAAAATTATCGTTCAGAATTCTTGATTCAAAATTTATGGAAGTCAATATGAAAGTATTATGTTAAGACTTGGCGACTGGCACATTATGTTAGGCGTTGGAAATGCGCACCCCTGATAACCCTGCACAGGTTCGCGGGTTTGAATCTTGTGGGGTTAATTATGTGCGAGAGGATTGTTGGATTCCCCGCCGTCGTAGATAACCGCTGGTAGGTTACGGGTTCCTCCACCATCAAGTCCATGCATCTGAAACAAGTAAATCCATGTGTCTCTCTGTAAATTACAATTATAAAACGAATGTACCTTCTTAGTCTGCAAGCATCAACACCTTCAGTTTTTTCTGCATTCTGTTCAAGCCTATAAAAAAGTAGTAAGCAATTATTACTTCAAACTTAGCAAAAACCATAACAGATTAAACAAAAAAAACTGGCATCGTTATAGTTACAAGCTTTAAAAGTTATCTGCAAAATGCTACCATTTAGACGAGGGGTGGGCAAATTACGGCCCGCAGGCCAGATCCGGACCCCCGAAGTGTCACATCTGGCACACGTGAATCTGCTGGAATTACGACTATAGCTTTTAGGGATATAAATTTCCATTCAAAATATCGATGAAAATATATATCGATGAAATAACAGCTAGACCCTGATTGTTACATAGTGCTTCTTACTATTATCTAAATATAGGCCTATCTGTTGGTTAGTTTTTCATATCGAGTTTTGAGCCCCTGGCCCAGTAATCAAATCTTTAATGTGTAACCGGCCCACTCCGAAAAGTAATCGTCCACCCCTGGTTTGGACTATCTATATCAGGGGTGGGCAACTTCTCTAGTCGGTGGGCCAGATGAGGGAAAATGAAGTTCTCGGCAGGCCGGATTATAACATCAATAGTATTCAATATCTTAATTACCTATTTATTTGCTAATGCAGGGAAGAAAATTATAAATAGTGTTTAAAGTAAAGTTTAAACTAGAAAAAAATAGAGACCAAAAAACTCATAATGAATTTATCATAATGTACTAAAAGTGTAATAATGTAATATCATAATGTACTGATGTACAGCCAGCGGGCCGGTCAAAATCTCGTCGCGGGGCAGACCCACCCTGCGGGCCGTATGTTGCCCACCCCTGATCTATATCTATCATCAAGCATGAGATATAAATGGTTCAAAGTCCGTTAAAACCTAATCGGTCATTGATAATGACTTACGACTCTTTATAATACACTTGATATCCAATGAGAGTTCTGTCATCTTTGACGACAAAATTTCTCCATAATATTTTGACCGAATCTCGAAACATTTCGACATTAAGAACGTCAATCTTTGTGAATTCGCCTGAAAAATTGTTAACACATTGACAAACTATCCACAGTGATAAAAAATCTTGATTCTACAAACAAGTCAGTGTTTCACATTATATTTTGTTGTACCTGGTTCTGGACGTTGTTCTCTTGTATTCAATAAATTTCAGTCAATAAAGTTATAGATGATTTATTTGAACATTTTTTATCTATGTTATCTTTTCACTTCACAATAAATTTCAAGAATTTTTGATCAGAAAAACATCGAGTTATCATTTCATTGGTCACTCCTCTACTTCTGAATGAGTGAGCGAAAGCAAATTTCGTTAAAAATGGAAGTAAAGTCAATAGAGGTAGAACTGGGAGGAGCTGTTACTTATAGGACATGAACTATAGCTGTAGATATGTCATTTTACTATTACTTACATGCTGCCCTATCTCCATTTGTAGAATCACTGATGTCTTTTTCATCCTCAATTTCTGGAGTTAATTCCTCAACTTTACGAACTTCCACTTTGCGACAAAGATGTGGATTGAAATGAAAGAATGCTTTTCCACCCTCAATGGTCGTGTTGTGTTTACTAAAATCCCAGAGTTCTTTCAGGTTTTGATTTTCCAGAATGTAAACACTGTACATGCTACAAAGAAAGAAAGTCATGTTTTAAATAACCAGCACATAAAATAGGTAAAAAATAAAATTTCTATCTCGGTCAAAGAGAAATATCGAAAAAAATTGTGCCTAATTTGCAGTATTCCACCCACTATTATAAGAAAATCCCTACAAACTGAGGTATACAAGCGAAACCAAGTCTACTGATAATGAAAAAAAACACAATAACAGTTAGATTGTGTTAAAAACAAATTCAACTGCATATAAGATTATATTCTGCTTCAGATTTGAAGATTCAAGGTAGAAAACGAGATATAGCAGATCCCAAGAATTCTTAGGAAAGGATTTACATGTTTATCCCAGGAGAGAAAAGCCGATAAGACGGCTTAATCATATAGAGAACCACGGCCTCTTGTCGGATTACCAGTCCATGTCGGGTATGGTATTACTTAACCAGATATTTGTTTTCAAAAGCATGGACTTGATGATAGAGGAAGCTGTAACCGTCCAGCAGTTATGTGAACCACACTCAGTCCAGCAATCCTTTGCACATGAATAATAATGAAAATGTAATCAATAAAAAATACTATCTTACTCTTGCTCCATGTACTTTCCAGTGATTCGTTTAATATTTTTCAAGAATGAAAGAGTTACAAGGGGAAATGATCTTCGTACAATGAGTGTTCCAATGACCTCAAGGTCACGGAAAGCGTCGTCCAAACGTTCCACAACCTCGGCTGAAATTGAAGAAATAATGAATTAATTTTTTGTTGATTATAAATAAAGACTTTAGAGATTTAGTCAAACGACTAAACTCAAAAATTTAGTCCCAAGTTTCACGATTATTTCAACTAACAAAATAATGCCTCTCGAGAGTGGGAATAGCAAGCAATGTGAGACTATTATCAAATATTTTTTGTAACATTTATGGGCTCTCCAGAAGTGTGTGTCCCAATATGGCGGTAACTAATTTTGTTCGCCTATTTTACATCAAGTTGTGTAAAGGGATGAAAGCCTATGTGCAGGTGGTATATTTACTTAGTTAACCCTAACAGTCCCCAAACTCATGATAGATCTAAAATTAGGAAAATCATAATGAAATTATGGCCTCTAACCTGGTACACATACTATGGGATTACCACATTTTAAAAGTACAGGAAAGGCATTCATATAAAAACTCACATCCACCATTGATACTAATATCGAGAGCTCCATCTATTTCTCGACATACTTCAACATCATGTAAAGAATGTACATCAGTGATTCGGACATTTCCAATACAAACTGTAATACACAAAATAGAGTTTAGAAAAAAAAAAAAATACTGTAGATGAATAGAAAAATACTCTTAGTTTATACGAGACCAACAAAAACTGAAAGTTCAAAACTTTACAAATATTCTTGAAAATAAATGCTATAATTAACAAATAAAACTATAGTAAAACTAGGTAGGTTAATTATACTCCATAATAAATTTAGCTTTTTTTCAATTTGAATTATAACCTGTATATGTAATTATTAATAGAGCTTTCCATGAGAAATGTTAGAAAAATCTACATTTCAGTTTTTCAATTTTTCATCAGCTTGAAATTTTATTTTTAGTGTACTCTGAAACATTTTTTGCTCAGACGAAAGTAAATAGCAATCTGCCAGACACAGAGAACAAAACTTATCATTTCGTATGCCAAGTTGGACTAAAATAAAAATTAACGTATACATTTCTCAAGAAATGCTTATCTAGCGCATGCGTATTTGTAATTTTGACGCTCCAGAAGTGTATGAAGGGACTGAAACCTATGGGCAAGGATGGCCAATATTCTCGATAGGAACTTGCGCGCGATTGCTTTATCAGCGGACGTGTTATTTAGGCCGTAAACGCCTTTACGTTTGTGTTATTTTCTCTAAAAGGCAAATTTCCCACAAATTTGTTCCACGATAACGATGACAATGATTTTATTTTTGTACTCGCACAGAATTGTGAATACGAAGAATGCGTTCATCGGCGGCGAGTTTCTAAAGAAAACGCAATTTTTTTGATTGAAAAGTGGCAATTTTAAACACTGAAAATAAAATCGCAAACAAAATATGTTTTATTGAAGCCTGCGACAGTTTAAAAAATGCTTTTCTAGGCAGTGAAAATCGCAAAATTTCCACATTATGTTTGGTCGGCGTTTAGAAACATATCGTCACTACTTGAGGGCGGGATTTGTCTGATTATCCATTACCTTAATTAAATTGCCGTCGAAAATTTTTGTGTTAACATTATACAAGGTTTGAAACGCGACCTTTACCGGGTTGTGAAAATATATATAATATAATTAATCTAAAGTATATTCAATCAATTTTTATTGTGCTGAAATAAATTTTAGTCTGAGATTTTACGGCAGATTTATGGATTTTTCGAACGGTTTTATCTTAAAAATAATCGGAGTGGCGGCATTTCGATTGAGCGGAGTCAGTGTTACACATCTCAAATTTGCCGAATTCGCAAAATACGGATCAAAACAATATATACTCGGGCAGTTTACCACACATTTTTATTTTCATGTCCGCGGTTTGCCATGGTAAATTAGAGTGGTGAGGATTTTATTTTGTCGACGCAACCGCAGGTTAAATTGAAAACAATTAAATTAATAAAGCAAGACACTTTAAATATGCCCGTATCGGTCACGAATTAATCACTTTGCACAACAGAAAAATATATATTCGTTGTTATATTATTCGTTGTAAAAGTCGGCTCTTTTATCAACAGGTGGAGTAATCGCGGCGATAAATATGTATTTTTAATTTACTGCTAAACTTTATATGTATACTCATTGTATGAAATGAAATGAAGTTGTACTTTGCAGAATTTTATATCAGTTATTGAGATTTTTCTAACGGCGATAACGAGTTGGCAAGATTGCAAAAATACGTATTAACGCGTGGACCAAATAGTAATGTTTTTATTTTGATGTAAGAAGAAGCAACCGCGAGTTACGTTGGACACATTAAATTAATATATAAAGATATTCTAGAATTTCGTAGTTGTCATGGATTGAATAATTTACGTGACAGGATGATCATTATACGCTGAAACTACGGCTCCTATAACGAGCGCGGAATCGTGGTGGATGTTGCAGACGGCAATGGGAATTTCCGATTTTGAAAATCCTGGCTGCGCGCCTGGCAGTAGTGGTCATCTATCCTCTAACTTATTGCTAATTTCAAACTACAAACTATTAATTACTTTGTATACATATATTGTTGGTTTGTGGCTTTACCCTGATATTTCTATTGAAGCTTATTTCCTATTTTACTTGGTTTTATAATCTAAAACAAAATGTGTTATTTTCGATTTTAGAATGTATTCGGAATTCCAGATTCGAAAACATTATTTTAGAATGTATTCGGAATAGTTTAGTATTCGGAAATGGCCATCCCTGCCTATGGGTAGGGGGTATATTCACTTGGCTAACACAGACACCCCCCAACTCATAATGGAACAAACATAAGGAAATTCAGGATAAAATTATGGCCTAACCCTAACCGGGTACACACACTACGAGAGTAATGTAATTTTGGCCTAACTTGGCATATTGAATGATTGTTTTCAAGTTTTGTCTTCTGTATCGGGCAGATTGCTATTTATTTCCATCCGAGCAGCAATGCTTTATTGAAGTCCTTAACTGTTGTACTACACTATGAATCTGAATTTATTTATTAATAATGAAAGTTACATTCTTACCTTGACCACAATCCGTTGTACATTTCACACAAACTCTCATACAATCTCGAAATTCCACTTGATATCCTGCTGGACATTGAAATCGACAAACGTTTCCCAAGAAATGCCAATCAAGCCTCTGACATTCTTCTTTCGCAATGCATAACCAATCATGAATCTAAAATAATATGAAATGTTGATAATAAAGTACAAATACTGTGTTATTTTATTTATTTATAAAAATTTTGTCAAACAAGAATAAGTACAAAATATCCAAAACCAAAAATTGACAAACAAAAATCGAAACAAAGCAATTTAAGATAAAATGACCAAAAAAGTTTTGTGGCCTTTATGGAATTCATTTTTGGTGTGCCACAACGTCATCAAAATTAAAATTTGCGCTCCCTGTGGTGGTTCCGCTTTCGCCTAAATTCGAATATGCTGCTTAGCTGAGATACAAATGAATTTATATAATACTAATTTTTTCCAAACTCTTACCAAATAGGTTCCATGCGGACAATTGCTGACACACGTTCCATCATGATATTTGTATCTGCAAGCAATACATGCTGATCGATTGTTTGGTCTTGTACAACCAGCTAAACACTGCTTGTGGCACTTGCATTGTTTCGTAGGGGCATTGTTGTTACATGTTGCTGGTAGATTTGTAGGTGGACAAGTGTGGTTTGGACACTCTCCTGTTAAAAGAGTAAAGGGTTAATTTTAATGAAAAACTCAGCGGTGAGATGGCTTGAGTTGGACTCGAGTCACTACTCATTATCAATATTGGAAACATGAAATTCCAATTCTAACTCGGCAATTTGAAAATTCAACTCTAGCTACGTCTCCGATTCCAACAAAAATTCCTAGAATCAGTACAAAATCTATGAACGTAAACCAACACTAGGTGTCAACACAGAGCAGTTAAATAGGCACGAATCGAAGGGAAACTCCGATCATCTGGTAATGACTTCAACAGATCACATGTTTCACAAATTAAATCCCTTTTGAACACACACATTATAAGCCACTATTCATGCATGATCAGCGTCTGATGTACAATTACAACGAATTCTCCAAAAATAAGCCGATTTTCGAAATTAAGTAATAAGTAGACGTTTAAATAAATCTCTGAGACCGCAAAATGCTTTCAGATTTCGTCGTTGGTACAAGCGCGTTGCATTATCTGTTAATTCGCTTGTCATCTTCAGATCAGGTAAAAAATTCTTCACCTTTAACCGTCGAAATAATATAAACATACTGGATAAATATTACATGTTAATATCGCACAATCCGACAGCATCACATATGACTTTTCACAGGGTGGAAATATTTTTGGTTTCAAGATAATACACAGACCAACCCAGTCAAAGCCCAACAAGAAAAGTGCAAGAATCTTAACTCCCTTATCCACTTGAAGTAAACGAAAAATCTGGCACGAAACTTTTTGGGCAATATATTAATTGTTTTTATTTAGCACATCACAATCGCCGTAGTAAAATCAGATCAGTTTATGTCACATGTTTCAAAAATGAGCTTTTTCAGTCGTCTGTCATTATGGATTCTTGGCAATCTTTCGGTCTGGGTTTGAGCTGTATTGTATTAGTTTAAATTTTAGACAGTGCCCATGTAAAATTTTAGCTTTGGCTGTATAAATCTGAAAATTACAAAAATGCGTTTTTTCATAAAAAAGTAAGTTGGCTCTACTCTGGCATATCTTGCCTTATCATATTTTCTGATTGACTTTGCACAATTGCAAAGCATCAAAAGAAATTTTGCATTTCAAAGAACTCCGCAAATCTGAATAGTAACACATTGAATGTTTCCGTTCTAAATTTGCTACATCGGGGGTAGTATTGTTCTCAATTTTCCTCAATACAAAGTTTAATACGCTTTTCTGAGAATATATATTGGTATTTGAATTGCTATTTTGCCTGGAATTGCAAAATTTGCAAAGGCTTTAGCTGATAATAGTACAACAAGGCAGTCAAAATCGCAAAATACTTGCCAAATAAGCAGCAATCGACGTATTTGATGAGTACTACAAAATTGCACAAATTTCGAAGATTAGGAAATTGCAAAGTGTGATATTATTGCAGCAAAACTTTATTATATTCAAGTAAAATAAATAAAATTATAGTTTATATTTTTGGATGTCCATATTAACAGCGGTTTATCTTCGATCCATGCTTGGTAGATAAGCCAGATATTAACCAAGGTAGGCTTGGTTTTACACTCATATAATTGTTGTTGTTTTCGTTTTCCCAAGAAATCGATTTAACAACGATTCGCCTATTGACCTAATTTCGTCCAAAAAAAGGGGCGGTTTCTTTGAAGCTTATGACCAATAGTGACCATTGTTTGACATGGGTTGACCATATCGTCGGTCACGTGATTGTCCGATGAAAATTCGGAAACCAAGTATGATAACGGATGCTGTATTTACTGTTTATATATATCTTGCGACCGTCATATGATATGATATATTAAGGAAAGTAAAAGTAACTAGAATTTTAGAGTCAATGCAAGTTTGGCTGTTTTATTTTTGAATTTATAAAAACAGTATCTTTGTAAGAGAGAATCATTTCACATAGTTGTGGTATTTATTCAAAATGAAGATATAAATTAGCGATGAGTTTATTTTTTGGGGGTAATTAATTTTTAGTGGTATAATACATAAAATAAGAGTGTAAAAATACCATTTTTGACAAATTTTTCAACCCTAATTACATAACGCGCGAAGCTCGATCGAACTCCCATCACCGACCACCAGAAAAAAACAACGCTATCTCACTCCTCTCTCCTAAAAGAGCAGGATAAGAAAAAGTGAGATAATAAAAAGAGGTAGAAAATGGATGAGCACATTGTCACGTGGTGACGTCAGAATGTGATCTGGCGAAGTAAACAAGTCCTTCACGGCAGACCTATCGCTCAGTCCTCAATATGGAAGTGTTCCCATAGATTAAAAACTGGCGATTTTTAAATTTGATTTGTAAAAGGTAACAAAAGATGGACCACTGTCCGTTTCACACCAGGCAAGCGAACTACTCTGATTTTTCTTCCTGAATGTTTTTTTTTCTATAATATAGACATTGTTTTAGAACATTTTAAAAAGTTTTTGAGAATTTGGGCTGGTTTAGTAAATAGGGTTTCAAAATCAACTCAAATATAATAAAAACGGTTTTTTCTACATGCGATTCCTAAAACCTAGGTCTGGCTGCTCTATTTTTGTATGGACAACCCTTGTCGTCTATATAAAAATAGAAATAGTCACTAAAACTGGGCAAAATGTAATTTTTGGCAAAAACTTTTCATGTTGCATATTTGAACTCATTTCACTCCAATCAGGGCCCTGCAACAAGCGGACCCTGCTGGGTTAGAAGACAATATTTTCGGCATTGCCCTTACCCACGGGGCTCAACTACATCGTATGCTTCATACCGCTTCTGATGTTTTTTTTTCTAAGGGATGACTCTAAAAAATAGAACCCAGGTCATTTGAAACATAGTCTAGAGAGAACATAACTTTTTGCGCAAAGCGTCCTAGTTTACTAAAACATATTCACCCAAAAGTATTCAAGAAAATTATGGGTACTGTTTTTGGGGGTCAGTTTGCACTTATTGATGATAAAAATGAGAAAATATCAGTTTTAACCGTAATGGTTCGCACATTTCATGAAATTTAGAAATAACAGTTTAGGGACTACCTCTTCCGCTATTATTATACATTCGATTAACACATATTGTCATTTCTATTGGAGTAGCAACTTTCTGTACCAGGATATAACTATCATAAATAGACCTGGGGAACACTGCCCTAGTGGAATTCAACATAACAAGCGGCGAAACACGAGAAAAGTAGGCGGTCGCGCGTCCTCGATCCATTATGGGGTTGGCGAGTTAAATATAAGAAACGAACTCGGCACCGTTAAACTAAAGAAACAAAAAGAGCAGATGATAGGAGTGGAGTACCCCAGAGAATTATTCAAAAACAAAATATGTCGAAGTAATTGTGTTTACTTTTTCAGGTTTGGACCACAGATAAAATGTGATAGGAAGAGTGTTAAGTAAATATCCATGCTTGGTTGGGTATCAAAAATTTGATATGTAGTAACCCGAATTTTCGTACGTGTCATTGCGGTATGCCAGGATGAAATGCGCAACTTCGGATGGAACGAAAAATTGTGTAGGTTTTGGAACGAATGTCGAAAACCATTATAAATATTACCAATGATTGACTTCATAATACCAATTTTCCGTTCGGGTCAAGGAAGACTTCCTATTCTTCGAAAATGAACCCTGAATAAGAGAGCCAAATCGCCACAGTGAAGCCAACCTTAGCTCATGTGCGGTTTTTCGAAAATTGACCTTTTAATTTTTCTCTGATTATGGACCAGGGGACGGACATCTTTTGATTTGGTTTCAAAGCTGTTTTCGTTTGGAATCAGGGCGGTGTCTATATCAGAATCTTGAAATGTGACATAGGCTAAATCGGTCCTGCCGCTCTAAATTAACATTAGCATTCTTCCTGTTGTAACTAAGATGATCTGGCAGTTTTTGAAAGTTATGAATCAGGGAAGACTGAAGATAAAATCAAGGCTGAGGAGTCGGAGAAAATTAACTATCGACCCTGGACCTAGGATTGAAAAAATTTCGAATTTGGTTTGAAAAAAATTCGACTCCGACTCGAGGATGAAGAAAATTCGACTCCGACTTCGGCTCCGGATTGAAAAAAAATTCGACTTTGACTTCGGCTCCGGATTAAAAAAAATTCGACTCCGACTCTGACTCAAGCAGAGAAAAATTCGACTCCGAATTAGAGTTGAGAAAAATTCGACTACAACTCTGACTCAAGCGAGGAAAAATTCGACTTCAACTCTGGTTAAAAAAAAATTGTAACTCCGACTACAGTACAGAACTCGTAGAAAATCAAATTTTATTAGGAGAATATTGGCGTAGACAAGCCACATTTATTAGATTATTAAAAACGCTTGATGAACTTGATGCTTTATGAGTTTCTGAAGGGAATTTTGAAATCTACTGTCATCACTGAAAGTATGAAATTTCGACTCCCGAATCGGTGATTTTGAAAACTCGTCTCCAGCGAAAACATGCAATACAGTTAGTTACAGTATCGTTAAAAGTATACTAATTTATAGTCATCTACCTGAACGAAAATTACATTCGAAATCAAAAATCTAAAAATACTTATTTATACTAGTAATATATTGGAATATGGATGGATGTAAGAATATTACATAATCAACACAATTGAAACTACATTCCACGAATTTTTATTTTGTCGCGTTTCGTTATACAATTCTTTTTCAATCATTTTCATCTTTTAGCGCGATATTCAACTTGCACGCTTTTGTGGAAGAATTAATTGTATATCCGTTACCAAAGTTCGCCCTCATTTAACCTTCACCGGATGGTCTATAATTATAACGTGATTAGAATAACTACTCATGTGGCCAAGAAAGTGTTACTTGAGTGGTTAACGTCTAAGTAGACGACGCGGTTCGTTAATTATTACCATATAGTCAATTGCGGAAAATTACAAATGCATTCCCAGCCTGGAATATTAGTTTATATATTAAAATATGTGTAAGTATGGGGTACTTCGCATACCTATGGCCGATGATTGGCATTGAATAATTATTCGGTTATCGCTTTTTATTTGTAAAGGGTGTGGGTGG